GTGGTGTATGCAAAGCAGAAGACGCTTACCCTATCAACTTACCAGGGCTCGTTAATTTTGCGATTCCCTCAATTTTGCTTTCTTAAATGTAATTATATTTTATGAATGGATTTAAGAGATTTTAATATATCGCTAAACTCTATTGACTCTAATTTATAAAGGTAGTTTTTTCTCCATTTATCGACTGTATATCAATGTGCACGAGTGTGGTGTTTTATCGACTGTATATCAATGTGGACGAGTGTGGTGTTTTATCGACTGTATATCAATGTGTACCAGTGTGGTGTTTTATCGACTGTATATCAATGTGCGCGAGTGTGGTGTTTTGATTCCTATTACTATTTGATATCGACTGCTCTATCGTGGTAATGGTTATAGTGTTTTTATTCCAAATAATATCTTATTTCGACTGTTCCCACGTGTTTATGATTGTGGTGTTTTGATTTCGAATACTATCCCCCAGTTTTTGGTGGGGTTCGTGTTGCTCAGTCTTTGGATTTCTATGTTGTTTTGTGTGTTGTTGTTCGTCTGTTTGTCTTTTTCTTTTTTGGCCATGGCCTTGTCAGTTTTTTTTCGACTTGTGATATTGAATGTCCATTAAGTATTATCGCCTGTCTTTTACTTCGACTGTTCTGTCGTGTTTATAATTTTTGTGTTTTGATTTCGAATAATATCGTACTTCGATTGTCCTCACGTGTTTATGATTGTTGTGTTTTGTTTTCCAATACTTTCTTACTTTGACTGTTCTACCGTGTTTATGATTATGGTGTTTTGATTCCAAATAATATTTTACTTCGACTGTTCCCACGTGTTTAAGACTGTGGTGTTTAGATTCCTAATACTATCTTGCTTCAACTGTTCCCACGTGTTTATGATTACTGTGTTTTGATTTCGAATAATATGGTACTTCGACTGTTCTAACATGTTTATGATTATGGTGTTTTGATTTCTAATACTATCTTACTTCGACTGTTCTCATGTGTGTATGACTGTTGTGTTTAGATTTCTAATACTATCTTACTTCGACTGTTCTCATGTGTTTATAATTGTGGTGTTTTGATTCCTAATACTTTCTTACTTCGTCTGTTCTCACATATTTATGATTATGGTGTTTTAATTTTGAATTATATCTTACTTCGACTGTTCTCACGTGTTTATGATTATGGTGTTGTGGTTCCTAATACTATCGAACTTCGTCTGTTCTCACGGGTTTATGATTGTAGTGTTTGGATTTCTAATACAATCTCATTTGACTGTTCTCACGTGTTTATGATTATGGTGTTTTGAATAATATCGTACTTCGATTGTTCTCACTTGTTTATGATTTTGGTGTTTTGATTCCAAATTATATCTCACTTCGACTGTTCTCACGTGTTTATGATTGTGGTGTTTTGACTCCTTATAATATCTTACTTCGACTGTTCTCACGTGTTTCGATTCCAAATACTATCTTATATCGATTGTTTTCTCGTGATAATGATTGTGGTGTTTAAATTCTAAATACTGTCTTATATCGATTGTTCATCCGTTTTAATGACTGTGGTGTATCGATCCTAATGCTATCTTACATCGATTGTTCTTCTGTTTTTATGATTGTTGTGTTTCGGATCACAATGCTATGTTCTTCTGTTTTTATGATTGTTGTGTTTCGGATCACAATACTATCTTACATCAATTTTTCTTCTGTTTCATGATTGTTGTGTTTCGAATCACAATACTATCTTACATACATTGGTCTGTTTTATGATTGTTGTGTTTCGGATCACAATACTATCTTACATCAATTGTTCTTCTGTTTTTTTATTGTTGTGTTTCGAATCACAATACTATCTTACATACATTGTTCTGTTTTATGATTGTTGTGTTTCGGATCACAATACTATCTTACATCAATTGTTCTTCTGTTTTATGATTGTTGTGTTTCGAATCACAATACAATATTACAACAATTGTTCTTCTGTTTTTTTTATTGTTGTGTTTCGAATCACAATATTATCTTACATGGTTGTGTTGTTTGATATCTTAATACTATATTAAACCGATTGTTTTTCCTTGTTTTATGATTGTAATGGTTCGTTCCTGGTACTATCTTACATCGATTGTTCTCCCTTGTTTATTATTATGGTGTTTTTATTCTTAAAACTATAAGTGTTTTGATTTTAAATACTATTTTACTCCTTCCCGTGTATATGATTTTGGTGTTTCTATTCCTTAGACTTTATTACTTTGATTATTCTCCCGTGTTTATGATTGTGGTGTTTCTTTTCTTTACACTTAATTTCTTTGATTATTCTCCCGTGTTTATGATTGTGTTGTTTCTATTCCTTATACTTAATTACTTTGATTATTCTCCCGTGTTTATGATTGTGGTGTTTCTATTCATCATACTTTATTACTTTGATTATTCTCCCGTTTTTATGATTGTGTTGTTTCTATTCCTTATACTTTATTACTTTGATTATTCTCCCGTTTTTATGATTGTGTTGTTTCTATTCCTTATACTTTATTACTTTGATTATTCTCCCGTTTTTATGATTGTGGTGTTTCTATTCATCATACTTTATTACTTTGATTATTCTCCCGTGTTTATGATTGTGGTGTTTCTATTCCTTATACTTTATTACTTTTACTGTTCTCACGTGTTTATGATTAGGGTCAAATTGAACTTGGGGCCTCGGTGGCCGAGTTGTCTTAGTAATCAATAGGGGGCTCGGTGGCCGAGTGGTCTAAGTAGTCGAACTACTGTATCACTAGCCAGTCAACACTGCAGGTAGTGAGTTCGAATCCAACACGTGGCAGGTGCGCTCGACTTCAATCTTAATTGACTAGGATTTTCAGTTTTCCTGCGAAGGACGATGGACGATGGTTCTCTCCGACTTCCTCCACGAAAAAAAACAACAAAAAAAATAAAACGACCGCCACGAAAAAGCCAATAGTGCTGAAAGGGGCGTTAAACACAAATCAATCAATTAATAAAATTGATTTTGGCGTGAATACGGATTCAAATGAGATAGAATTATCGACCTTCTAGTACAATTTCATAATTTTTGCAGTTGGAATTTGGTCAAAATGTTTCATTTCATTCATACCAATACTGGCTGCTGGACGATTGATACCCTCTGCAATAGATAGGTAATGATACCAGCAGTATCACAGTGTTTCTGAAATAACTTTGAAAGTATGCGCTCGAGACCAAAAGTTTGGAAAACAAAAATATAAAACGCTGAGAAGAAATACAAGTATGGCCTCAATAAAAACGCCAATCACCGTCTAAGGCCTTTTTGGCTGAGGGAGTTGTATACATCTGAATGTACATTGAATAAACTTCAACGAGACAACCCAGCAACGCACAAAGAAAAGATAAGATAAAAGCTCAGCTAAAAGCTCTCTGTAGTCACGGGATGATCTTATCAAAATGTATATGTACCAACATTTTTTTAAACTTTATTAAGAAATTAATTGTCCTGGTTATTAGTTGGATTCTTGTCGCTCACTATTAAGTTTCTTAGGGAGCTACCATTTGATTTTTATGGGGGTGGGGGGTTGGGGGCTAGGATGAAATTTAAAAAAAATAGACAGGACAGGAGTTTTGAGTAAAAAAAAAGGCAGGATGAGACACTTGCAAAAAAAAAAGTCAGGACGACAATTTAGGTAAAAATAAGTCAGGATAAGCCAAAAAAAAAAGGCAGGACCGAATAGAGTGAAAAATAAAAAGGCAGGACAGAGATTACAGCTAAAAAAAATGCAGGACAAAATTTTTCATCCTAGCCCCCCATAAAAATCAAATGGTAGCTCCCTTAGTTGTGTTTTGTATGATGTTGTTCGTCTTTTGGTGGTTCTTCGTTTACTGCCATGATATTGTCATTTTGTTTTCGACTTTTGAGTTTGCATATCCCTTTGGTATCTTTTGCCTCTCTGTAACGAGATACAATGCCGCAGATACAAAACAAACACAACTAGCTACTAGTATTAGATCAGTATACATCAACCAATTATCTACAATAAAACCAAAGAGTCACGTCGACTCCATCAGTCACAACGACTCCATCTCAGAGTAGAGGATTAAATCAAAAGTTTTTTAGGGCAACTACTTATGGTGGCCGGTTAAGGCCATTTCACGTTTTTGCGTTTGGTCATATCCACAAGGAATGATTATTTTATAAGATGTATTTGTTTTAAGGTTGCACCAAAAAGGTAATTTTTTGCAGTTTCTGTTAATTCTTTGTTATATTATTTCTTTATTGAAAAAAAATGCTTGCATTTTATAGAATTTTTTTTTAAGGAAATAGATATGTGTATTATATTTTATTTCAATACACAGGAAAACTTGCCACAGATGATTCTCATATGATGCCCTTTTTATATGATTCTCATGTGATAGCAAACATAAATATCATATGAGAGCATTTTCATATGATTCTCATTCGAGAATCATATAATTTTCCTTTGAACACTTACATATGATTCTCATGATGCCCTTTTTATACGATTCCCATATGATCGCTATCGTATGAGAATCAAATGTGACAACTTTCCTTGTGTTGTATAGTCTATGTTTGGTGTTGCATCTTAATATTATTTAGGAAAATGATAATATTTTTTGTTGTCAGTATGATATTTCTGTGTAGAATCCTGCATGTGCAAATGATTGTGATGCACATAAAAATCATCCAAAAATACTAAATTTTGCTTCAAATTTGTTATTTTGCATACATCAATATGTATTTCAGAGTTAAGCATTTGAGCTGAATCAGTTCACCCTGGTTTTTGGTTGGATTCTTGTTGTTCTTAATTTTTTCTGTGTAACATTTGTAAAATGTTGGTTTTCTGCTCTTTTTCTTTTACTCATGATGTTGTCAGTGTGTCATCGACTTATGTAATTCGATTCGCATTTACTTCTGCCCCCTCATATTTCCTTTCTTTTATATTAATAGGAAGTGCGATCACAAATATATGTTGCAGTATCATACATTATTCTTATGAAAAATTTATTTCTGTGGTGTTACTTTATTTTTATTTATATTAGAAAGAAACACATTTATAGTTCTTAATTGCCATTACAGTATCCAATATAATACATAAATCTAAAATAAATCTGACACCATAGAATTGATTCAATGACATATTCTTCTAACGCTGGTAATTGTGGTTCAGATCCTCATAGTAAATTTAAATGGTTTCCAGAATGACACCAAATGCCAAATTCATTGTCAGCATCCATACCATTGAGTTTAGACTACAACTTCCACCTACAAAAGTACAAAGTAAACAGTAATCAGTATACAGATTTTAATCGGGTGAACTTCCATGATAGTTGATACTTTCAATATCTTAAAGCCTACATTCAAAAGTTGTAAACAATAAATAAATGTACCGAACAAATTTCACTTCAGGCACAGAGAGCTCCATAATCCCTACAATGTACAATTTCTATCCAAATATTATGATACATTTTATACTTTGCTTAAGTTACACTTAAAATTGCATTTTACAGACACAAACGAAGGTTCTTAGATGCATTGTGTTCATAAAAGGCTCAGACTTACTATTTATTTGTAGCCTCTTTTTAACAAATGACACAAATGAGAATAACATTTTAGGGAGCTACCATTTGATTTTTAGGGGGGGGGGGGGGGGGGGGGTTGGAGAGGATGAAATTTGAAAAAAAAGGCAGGACAGGAGTTTTGAGTAAAAAAAAAGGCAGGATGAGCAACTTGGCAAAAAAAAAGGCAGGATGACAATTTATGTAAAAAAGTCAGGATAAACTAATAAAAAAAAAGGCAGGACCGAATAGAGTGAAAAATAAAAAGGCAGGACAGAGATTACAACTAAAAAAAAATGCAGGACAAAATTTTCATCCTAGTTTTTTTTTATTTGAAATTCATGAGGTCAGGTCCAGACCAAAAGTTTGTAATCGCAAAAAATTTAAACTTCAGAGAGGTCAAAAGCCGGAAGAAAAAGGGAGATTTGCAACGTTCATATTTTGTTATTTTATGGATAAAATGAACTCGATGCGTATGCCTTTACAAAATATTTACATAACTAATTTTGTTGCTTGGAAAACAGATAGAAAGCATGGAAACACTTTTTTAAACAGAGATTTACATATCAAATGTAAAAAAAAAAATCTGTAATGCGAATAAACAGGCTGAAATGTGTCGCCTGTTTACTGACAATTGATTTTATGTTGAAAGTCAAAGAAAAGATAAAGTTTTTACAACAACTATCACATAAAACTGACATTTTTAAAGATATTTGACATTGAGGTCAAGGTCAGATAAATCCTGTCAGACAGACATATGTTCACCTTACAATCATTCCATGCACCAAATATAATTGACCTATTGCTTATGGTAATTGAAAAACTGACCAAAACACAAAAAACTTAACATTGACCAATGAACCATTAAAATGAGGTCAAGGTCAAGTAATACCTGCCAGACAGACATGTACACATTATAATCATTACATACACCAAATATAGTTGACCTACTGCTTATAGTATTTGAAAAACTGACCAAAACACAAAAACTTAACATTGACCAATGAACCATGAAAATGAGATCAAGGTCAAATAATACCTACCAGACGACAGATATGTACACATTACAATTACACCAAATATGGTTGACCTACTGCTTATTGTATTTGAAAAACTGAACAAAACACAAAAACTTAACATTGACAATTGTACCATGTAAATGAGGTCAAGGTCAGATGACACCTGTTACTCAAAAGTGAGAAATTCACATGACAAAAAAACATTATTTTTTTTCAAGCAGTCGCTGAACCATAAAAATGAGGTCAAGGACACTAGACAGCGTACAAGATATGAAGCATCGGGTCGTCTACCTTCTGAAATATAAAGCTTTATGCAAAAAGTTTACATCGCTGTCGCCGCAGGGTACCGTTAACATAAATGTATTATGTTTTCGATAAAATTGAAATTTTTTCCCTGTGTTAACCTGAGTTATCTCGAAAACCGGGTTATTGTTCTGTATATTTCGGATCTGTATATTTTTATTTGACAATTTCGATCTGAACAAAATTTGTATTAAACAACGTATGACTGACATCTCAACACGAATTGAATTTGTTAGATGTAACCTTAGGATTCATCAATAAATGATTGAATGGGTAGGGTGGGGCTATTGCATGGCAGCAAATTTTAATTATAAAAGGCTAGTGTTGTCCGATATATCTTATACAACAAAAAGGGATAGCTTTCTAATTAAATGCCTTCCAACCCCCTTAAAAATAATTTTGGAATATTCCTTTAGTTTATAATACTAGTAAAGAAATTCATTATAAAGATGTTCAATTTTAGAACAAACTTTTAAATAAAAAAGATATAACCAAACTTACTAGGTCCATCAGAGAAACTAGTTCCTGCTGCTGTTTGCAAACTGATAAATTGATCATGTGAAAGCTGGGAACGTTGTTCTGAAGTAGTTGCCTCTGCCTGTGCAGGACTGAAATTCTGTAGCTGTTCACCCGTAAACGACTTCAAAATAAATGATGTATATTAACAGGACTGATTTTGTCTCAAAAGTTATCATATAGATCATGCAGATAACAACCCACTGTCCTTTATTTCATAGAAAATAGAATGCATTGATTAATTATCTAGAATTAAAAAAACATTAATCTATCTTTCTACTAAGAATTTTTAACACAAAAATAGAACACAGATATTTTGCGCTGTCTGGTGATTCTTTCTTTATTTTTTTTGTCTTTTTTTGTAGTCTCCATCTAGGATACAAATAGGCATCAATTATTTGTACACCTACAGCTATTCCTGTAAATGAAGACCCCATTTTGCTGTCATACATCAATTCATGTCAGTAAAATGTGCAATATTAAAATAATTATAAGTATATGCGTGGGAATATTCCAGACTCTCTAATGAAAAGCCCTTGCAGCTACCGTTCCTGAAAAATACCGTTTGACTGCATGTGATGTATTCAAATATATGACTAAAAGACGTAATCTAGGATTATGGAGACGGAGAAGTGACTTCTTTCATGAGATTTAAGGGTAGTGGTCAATTTCTTAGGGAAGTGTATTTCAATAACCGTTTCGGTTGAGTCTTGTTTTAATGTTTATCTGAGACATATGTATTAAGGAAAATGTTCTATATTCAGTGGAAAATTACGTCCAATTAATTATTGTGGACATTTGTTCAAATATTAGTTTTCAATTGGAATTGAAATATTTGCCATACAAATGGCTCTATACTTTGAACTCGGTTCAAATCATCACTTTCATTTAAAAGTGCCTGTATGAGGACATGGATATGACATGATAGTCCAAATAAGTTTTCCAAAAGAGGTACTCATTTCTATTTTTAAGAAGATACTTGCAGATTACTACAAAAATAAGGAGATGTGGTATGATTCCCATTGAGACAGCCGTAACATCAGAGATTAAATAACGTATGTAAGCAACTAAAAGTCACTGTACGGCCTGCAACAATTAGCAAATCCCATACCGTGTACCGTATAGCAAGCTAATAAAGGCCCCGACATTACAAACTATAAGACAATTCAAAAGAGAAATTATACACAAAACAATACACTAAAAACAAAGACGATACACAGCGACCAACGACTATATCTGAATTACAGGTTCCTGACATGGCGTAGGCGCAAACAGAATGTGATTGGATAAATCATGTTTGCGAGCGCCCCAACCCCTAGTGGTGTAAACAGCACAAAATAAGAGCAAACTGTAAAACCCAATTCCAAAGCCTGGGTGCATCAAATTGACACAAAGCACAAAAAAACAACTTACAAAAAGACTTATAAACACACAGTTCCAATCTAAGAGTACTCGCAGTTAATTAAAGCTGGGTCAAAGCCAATAACAAACTAATGAATAAATCAAGTTCACAGACTTAACATCTATTAGTACTTAACTATGGATTTAGTGTAAAGACGTTTTAAGTTGTATCGACAGGATAAAATTGAGAATGGAAATGGGGAATGTGTCAAAGAGATATGCAGGACTTAATGCAGGTATTTCATTCACACTAAGTGCACCTATAATAAGAACATATAAAGGCCACCAATGGGTCTTCAATGCAGCGAGAAACTCCCGCACCCGGAGGCGTCCTTCAGCTGGCCCCTAAACAAGTATGTATATTAGTACAGTGGTAATGGACGTCATACTAAACTCCAAATTATACACAAAAAACTAAAATTAAAAATGATACAAGACTAACAAAGGCCAGAGGCTCCTGACTTGGGACAGGCGCAAAAATGCGGCGGGGTTAAACATGTTTTTTGAGATCTCAACCCTCCCCCTATATCTCTAGCCAATGTAGAAAAAACAAACGTACAACAGTGCGCACAGTAAAACTCAGTTTAAGAGAAGTCCGAGTCCGATGTCAGAAAAGGAAACAAAAGAAAATAAACAAAATGACAATAATACATAAATAACAACAGACTACTAGCAGTTACTGACATGCCAGCTCCAGACCTCAATTAAACTGATTGAAAGATTATGTCTTCATCATATGAATATCAGGCACAATCCCTCCTGTTAGGGGTTTAGTATTATACCGTCATAAAATATATGAGAAGAACATAACCCGTGTCATGCCAACAACTGGTTTTAGAATAAATATGTTTAATTCCGATGCAAAGACCCTATAAGTGAATCAATATTAAAGCCAAAATATGCAATGTATGACCGTGAGTTTTCATAACTGTAAAGGAATAGTTATTTAGTTATGTGTTAATTTATGAATAACAAAAACAATGGTAGTACATATAAAACAATATTTAAACACTTTATTCCAGAGTTAAATTGATAATTAACGCTTTAAAATAAGTATATTCAAATGATATAAATTTAGTCAGTAAAGTCTTCTATAAATGGCCCTTGGATGACATACTGGGAAGGAATTTAAAAGCGAAAATCGGGGTTCAATTTTTTTTTTAACGTTCAATTATTTCCCTAACATGGGACTGTTGTGTAAAAGCACTACATAAGAACACACTGTGAAAAATAAATGTATTAAAAAGGGCTTGACTCATTTGATCGTTACTAATCACAAAAACAATTATTAAAAAAAATTTCTGCCGTTATTGAAATCTAGTTCAAAGGCCAATTTCAATTAATAGATATCCTTTCTTTTTCCAGACAAAAATATCAATCAGTTATACATATTATCTACATTCTCCTACTTCGAAACAATCCATATAATATGATTACCTTCATGGCTTCAACTGGAAAATAACTGATCATATTCGGATCAATGCTGTCAATCTGTCCAGGACTTAATGCAGGTATTTCATTCACACTAAGTGCACCTACAATAAGAACATATATAGTTTAATGTCAACTTTTTCTGATTAATTTTAAGTCGTAAAATTGATTAATTTGGGTGAAATTAAACCTCATAAATATTACCAAAATATTGATAAAGTTTGAATTGTCATGTTTTGTGTATATACACATGAAATGCTAGCTACTTCAAAGTACCATCTATTACTCTCCAACATGTTTATCATATAAAAACAAAGATACTAGGCTTATAATTTGTACGAGTTTCATCTACATAATAGTCACACTCGAATCAAACAGTTGGAAAGACAAATTAAATACGAAGTTGGAGAGCATTAAAAACCAAAAATTCCCCCAAAATGTGTCAAATAAGGTCAAAGGCAATCTATACCTGGAGGTAAAAAACATAATTGATTCTAATGATTCAACATTTTATAAACAGTAAATTTACAGAAAAAAGAGCATATCAATGGCATATCATGTCAATACAAAAGTGCCGACTACTGGGATGGCGGTAGCAGTGGCATCAACCCAGTGTATGTAAAATCTCATCAAAGATACGAAGCTTATAATTTTGTAATTCTATAACATCGTAAATATGCGTTTAAAAACCTTTGCAGAGGACTTATTTAGTATATTTGCATGCATTGGTTCAAAATAATTTCATTAACAACTGTTTTAGGATAACATAACTATAGTAGAAAATGCATGCTACTTATGAAATATTTCAGAGACAAACACATTTTTTAAAACCCAAATGATATCATTAGAATCAAAATTGAAATAGAAAAAAGTTCTGCATGATTTGCCCATGATCATAGAAACTAAAAATCAAAATCTCTCTGTATTTAGTTCTTCGTCATTACTAAGAAAGTTACAAACCTACTAAAATTCCGGCTGTTGTAACTGTCGACTCGTCCCACAGTGAAATGTCATTCCCAAATGCGTCTGAATGTTTAGCTAATGCAGCAAAAGCTTGCAGTTGACTTGTACTGCAATGTGTCAAACCACCTACAGTTTCTGCAGAATCCCTGTCAAAATGTATGTCTTTTGATATATTCATTACTCTAACATACAATGAGAAGTATACAAATTCAATCACTGGCTTACCAATTTGTTAATGAAGAAACTAAAGAAACACCTAATGGGACTTAACAAATATTAAGTTAAAGACACATATGAGCATGCCCTGAAGATAAAAGACAATAAACTGTCTACAAAACACCACACAGGAACAGTCTACAAAATATAACACAGAAAACTTTAAATTACGCTAAACAAACCATCAACAACTACAAGATGACCTGAACTACTCGGGAAGGGCAGATGAGTATACAGTTCCTGCTCCATTAGTGACAGTTGTAGTGTAACTCATGACAAGCTGATGATTATCGCAAACCATGATGTCATTAATCATGGAAATTTCACTGTAAGAAGTTAAAATTTTGTTATTTCATTTTGTTTACCCGTGTATTTATAGTTTACTAAATGTGTACTGTATCGAGAAAGTGTATACTATATACTGTATGTTCTATCAACTACAAACTCTTTTTTGTTGGCGTCTTTGTCAAATTAACTATCAACTACAACAACTTTTTTTGTTGGCGTCTTTCTTAAGATTTATTTCACTAAAGACTGAGCAACACGAACCCCACCAATAACTGGGGTGATCTCAGGTACTCCGGAAGGGTAAGCATCTCCTGCTCCACACGTGCCACCAGTCGTGTTGCTCATGTTAGTACAAACCTAATTCGGTAGGTCACATTCGGGAAAAGGGGACGGGATTGTAGTTACGACATTATGAACATATCCGCTATCATCTGTAAAACGGATATTCTGTAAAGGTCAATCAACTCGTGATGGCGTCCGTAAAATTTACGCAGGGGTGATTCCAACTTCACCACTTGGAACTCTTGGTTTAATAGCTTAAATAGCTTGAAACTCTTGGATTGAAAGGTGTATATCCATGCTAAGGAAGCTAATAAGTATAGAATGAACATACACTAGCGTAAAGTATCAATTTAGTACGTAAACGCCATAGGATATTACTACTAAGAAATAGGAAGTTGTTGACAATTGATCAGTTGAAATCGATATGTTTGTAATACTAGTAGATATAGTTTCAAGTCGCATCTGTGTCAATATTGAGGAAAAGATCAAAATATGAAGCAGACTTTCTAGTTTTAGTAGTATCTTAAATCTCAAGTTCATTAGAATATGTATGAGATGCAAGCTCTCACTGCAATGTGGGTTTTTGTGTGAATCATCAATTAAATAAGATGAAATTAAAACACTCTGCAAACTGTTTCTTTTTTTGTCTTTGGAAAGGGTGTGTATAATTTCTGTTTCATAGGAGTACAAAAACAAGTCGGTTAGTAGAGGCACACATTGGAATACAGACTGCTGTATGATGGAAAAGAAAGGATATAAGGCACATGACACAAAATCCATACATGGACAGCAAACAACACAAAAAGCAAATGAACAGCAACATTCATTTCTGTTTTTTTTTATCTTAAAGTCACAGTGAGCCCTTCAGTGAAACTCTCATCTCACTGCAAGTTTAAGACGGCCCTTAGCACCGGTTTGAGCGGAATTCTTTGCAAACTCACGATCACACCACAGCTGTGAATAGAGGAACCAAGCCAATGAGTAATATCAATAAAATAAATCTGGCAAAGAAATCAAACATGTATGTTGAAATATAAATCCACCAAAATCAACAAATATGTTGTCGATCAAAAAGAAGATTTCCCAGTCTTAATTTGCTGTGAATTCAAAGCTCTTTAGTTAGACATTCCAAATAATGTTTTTTTTTAGCATTTTTTTCTTAAACTGATCTAATTGTACATCTATTCATTAGAGCTGTATTCCTACTCAATGGATCCAATATAAAAAAAAATAGTTTACATATATACAGCTGGCGAGATGGTGTCTATTTCAGTTGAAAGCATTCCACAAATAAAGTTTCCTAATGCTGTCAATTCTGTACTGGATAAATTACTTGCGGGTAGCCCGTTCTTCACTTTTGTCATAAACACTGTATATGCAGATCTTTTCTAAAATTATCAATGAAAATCATTATAAAAAAAAACAAATTGTAATATGATTGATGTTGTGTTTTGTAGTATGTTCCCTAAATGGATTTGGTTCCTTTGGATCATAAAGCTCCTCACGTATTTCGGTCCTTGGTTTAAAATTTATAATTTAAAGTGTTATTTTTCATTTTTATCCGATTAAAGTGAACTCAGAGGGATGTATAAGTACCGAAACACTGAAGAGCTATATGACAAAAGGGACCTACAAATACTAGCAAAGTACATCTTAGGTCAACTTTGATTGAGGAAGTTGGAAGCTAAGTTTCTAAACAATTTCTTAAATACTAAACGGAAAATTAAAGAAAGGTTTGTTATAAATCATGTCAGTACCGAAGAACTGACTTCTAAGCTGATGATACCTTTGAGGATGTCATAGTCAACCTGCAGCGATATAGTGTTATAAAAAATGGGATAAACACTTCATTAACTTTATACGTCTGACACGCTTTTCTAGATTTACCTTCATCAGTAACACTCAAAGCCGAATATTTGAAATCCAAGGATGTATAATTACCAAATCACATGAAGAACTACATAGCCAAATGTGACATAAAAATAACAGCCATATCATATCATATTCCATATCAGCCGTAACATGATCATAAACAATGTTCTTTGTTTACTAACAAGGTACGATATTCAAACGATAAAAAATCTACAAATAAAAGGAAAAAATCTACTGTTAATTGGTCATTTATGCCAAATCTATATTTACTTGTTCATCTGTCCATCCGTGCAGCTGACCTAGAGAGCTTACACTGTTTATATCCATATTAAGTGTATTCATATCTAACACATTTAATCCCTGTACCATACTTCCCGCTGTTCCAATTGTCTCTGAAGTCCAGTTGCCTGGTATGCCATATATCTATAAAATGATTAAAACAAATCTTAAAATGTACAATATTTATTCTGGTTAAAATATAAGTTAGGAAAGACACCTTTTATACTCTTTCTCTATCCATCTAAAAAAATGCAAATGTAAATTTATACAATGATCAAATGGAAATTATCTCTCCAACATTTCTTTTCAACTTTGAGTGTTTTAAATTCTGACATACAAACGGTGTTAAATTTACCGATATCATTTTTTGAGCTAATGCTTCTTTCTGATCAGCTGACCATTGTGTGACCTCCCCTAAAGTTAACAAACAATCCTGAAATTCACTGTCATTTACAGCAATAAGGTTTGCCTCTGACACTGCAGGCAATCCAACGGAACCCAGCGACTTCAAATCATCACATGTCAAAGTATCTGTAAAATACAAAATGAACAAATATTGAATAGTCTTACATAGGGTGTTTTGCTTTCTAAAAACCTTTCTGAGTTTTGTTGTCAGAACATGAACATTTAAAACGCCAAAAAATATTTTTAAACGCACTATTTTTTTTACTTTGATAACTAATTTTATGTTTTGACCCATTTACCGACTTATGAGTTTGGATATCTGGTTAGTTTATTCCGCTTCTCTTTTGTAGACAAAACTGATTTTTCGTTGATCTGAATAGGTCCTAAACTTATACAGGTTTTAGATTACTTTGACCTAGTAGTATGCAGGGTTTGAAATTAGCAGGGGCCCACTCGCCGATGGCCCCTAAAATTTGGTGTGGGCTACTTAAATTTCTGCTTTTCTTGTATAGGACTATATATGATGGCTACAAAATTTAAGCTGTGGGCTACAATGCCAAAATTTTAACTTCAATCCCTGGTATGTATGATAAATGAAACATCAATATCTTGAAATATTCTGTAACACCCTGCATAAGTGTTTACGCTATATTTTATCTATCTATAAAACCAGGTTTAATACACAATTTCCTACATTAGGAAATGTTTGTACCAAGTCAGGAATATGACAGTTGTTTTCCATTCATTCCATGTGTTTGAGCTTTTGCTTTTGCCATTTGATAAAGGACTTTCCGTTTTGAATTTCCCTTGAAGTTCGGTATTTTTGTCATTTTACTTTTTACCACGTTTGAAACATTTCTTGTTCTGTATCTATCCTTATCAAATTTTGGAAAAATATCATAATACACTATTGCGATTGTTAATTTTAATTTTTAAGCAAATAAAAAGTTTTCAACCATAGCATTCATTTGAGAAGTCTGTGATAGTAAATATTTGACATAACCAAATTATCAAACATTACAGCGGAGAAAAAATAATTTGGTCTACTGAAAACAATCTTATTTCATTTCATACAAAATCCTAGAAAAAACTTTTCTTCGAATGGCGAAACGTTTTATTTTAGTATTATTAATTTGAATAACGATTGTAACAAAGAGGTTTTGGAAGCAAAATTGAAAGACGTGAAAGGTGAACATTTAAAAAGCCTCGTTAATTGTATTTAATGGAATGGAATTTATTGAAACATATGCGGTTTCCAAATTCTTAAGTCTAAATTATGAGACGCTCTGTAATTATTTTGTTCAGTATTCAGAAAATCTAAAATATGAAACCCAATTTGCTTCCAATATTCCTTAATATATACTTACAACCTGATGTGTCTCGTTTCTTACGACTGCTTACACCAGACAATTTGATTTGAATAATCTTTTTGAATACTTGGAGAGTTCCCTCTTGTTGGATAATTCTTTCTTTATCCGAAAAGTCACTTTTGAACCCTTTCAATCGTCTAGCCTCCTGTAAACTGTCTCTGTCTTTAAAGGCTTGGACAACAGCACTTTCCGCTAGTGCAAATGCTTTCTATAATAGAAAGTGTAAGTTTTCAAAGAGACTGTAAGATGGGACGTCTTTTGTTCTGTGATAAGTGATACGTTTTCAAAAAGATGTCAGCGGGTACCTTAAATCTAATCTTGTAAAACTCGAATTAAACAGGGAATCAATTTTTCTGCTGGGCTAATGTCCAAAAACTTGACCTTGATTCTTGTTCAAAGATAACATGATTAAAACCTAGTACGACATACTCGTGTTGCGTTTTCGGAATAATCAGTGGCGCCCTAATCAAAACAGTCGGGGGTCACATTTATAACTAACATGAAGAGCATTAAAACCAAATAGTCTAAAACGTATGCCTAATCTGACCTAAGCAGTCTATGACTAGGGGTAGATAAACTTTAGTGTTCCAATTGATATTAATATTTAAGTAACAGCAAATGACCAAATGAAAAAATATTTCTTTATCTATGAAAACCCTTACAATGCGGGTATATTCAAAGTATAAGAGCCACATTATAAACAGGGATGTGTGATTTTTACACAAAAACTGCTACAACAAAGGTATGAAGAAAAAGGGTTGAAATCGACACTACATAGTTTTACGGTCACAATCACAAATTGTTGACCAATACAATATCTAAATTTAGTAGCTACATGACTGTTTCGCTAGTTTCGTGATAGTATGCTCGCCTCAAGTGTCGGAAGTCAAGGGTTTGATCCCAAGCCGTGTCAAACCAAATACTTTAAGATTGGTATTTGCTGTTCCCCGCTAATTCACCTGTCATTTATAAGTAAAATTAAAAAAAACTGGTCGGCTCAGAATAAGGCCAGAATAATAAGGTGTCCAGGTAGGGTGACATGTTTTTGTGGATTGTTACCCTTGTGAACTAGCATGTAAAACATTCAGCTCAGATGATCGGTCCAAAACAAAGAAGGTTCTTATTCATATTGCATTAAAAAATGAAAATAACTCCTTTTTAATGCTATGCATTTGAAGCACTTTTCTGGATATATCTTTACCAAGAACGCTCAAAGTTGAATATTTGAAAGCCAAATACGTTATAGAACTTCAACAGGTAAATATCTATATAACCAAAACATTCACGAGCTAAATATGCATTGCACTAGCCATTGAACGATAAACAGTCATTCATCCATCCATCACTAGCGACTGGTTTTCGCAGTCTTAAACCTGTAGATAAAAGTATAGTTGTATGATCTGTAATTTTAACGATCGTGACATTTTGACTGATTGCACATAAACATAGATGACGATTCGTGCATATCAGGAGATGTATCCGGTCTCGCTCTATTTGGAGTTCATGCGATTCCCTCAGTTGTGAGAATTTCTTCTCAATCAATTTACAAGAATTAAACAGCAGTAAACTACTGTTGCCTCAATTCATCTCATCAAAGAATAATGAGAAATTATATAATTTTAAGGAAAGTGGATGAAAAATGGGGAGCAAGAAGGTGAACTGTGGTTTGTTTTTATCAATAGTACCGCTTAAGTCTACGCTATGGGCCGTCTTGACCTTGTTGTAGGGTATGAATGATTCGTTCATTGTCGAAGACCCTACATCAACTGTCAAGATGAAGAACAGGAATAAAAGCCCTGTTCATTGATAATTTTCTATGTTTTCTATGTATTGTGTACGATTTTGTCCCATGTACATTTACTCCATATCCTTTCATTTTCTAAACGATTGGCCTAACACGTATATATAATGTAGGGAAAACACTGCAGAGATTGAACTAAAAATAAAGTTCCAACTGTTTTGATTTGTATATGGTAAATTGATTTGCGAAATTTGAACATCGTTGTTTTCTGTTTAGTCTTATAAGGCGACATTTACCCTATTATCATTTTGACTGTCCCGCTACGAACTTTTTACTTTGATGTTCATGAATGGTATTAAGCATTTAGCTTCTGAAAGATTTGGTATGGATGGTTTCTATAAAAATCTGTTCTCGAAATTAAATGCGCCCCCTAGCAGTGCTTCATCTTTGCATGTATATCCAGAAAACCTTGTCGATTGCATAAAATTGATGAAGTATTAATTTTAATTTTTTATTGACTGATGTATTTGGCTGCTTTAATAGAGGTTTTGTGTGTTAGACGTATCTAATAAAGATTATTCGGGATATAGAATTGCATACATACTGAAATTGATATCATACGTTTGTAAACACATTTGCTGTACCTGCAATATTTCATTATAACTAAAATGTCATCTTGAATTTTCAAAGCAGAAAGGAAGAAAGATCTAGTTGCCAAGTCAATGCTTCATTAAATAAAAAAAAAAACTTGTTCAAGAATATCTCCATCCTATTTAAAGAAAATCAAACTATCTATCTTATCATACAAAAGTTTAAATGTTTTCTTCTTCTAATAATAAATATTAAACTATACCACTGGTATCTCATCTAAATCGTCAGGGGAAAAATCAGCTATCAGCGTTTTAAGGGTCATCAGGTCAACATCTGTCATAGCATTCAGAGAATTTCTGAAAAAAAATATTCAGTTTCAATATTATCTTAAGTGGTATATTAAGTGCCTTCAAAAATGAGAGAAAACAGTTTATATAACTGTTTATAAGAAGGCCTTTTAATTTGCATATATTTTTCTTCATTTATAATTACGTTTCAACCATCAATTTTGACCACACTAACATTTTGAAAACGGTTAATTAATATTCATAAAATATTACTTAAAGTTGTTAGTTTTTGATGGAACATGTGAATAAATTGTAAGATGTCGTTATGTTAACACGAAACTTTCTGCATCATAGGAATTTATAGGTTAATTGTTTTCTTTCTCATTGTTCAATATAAATTCCTTTTATAGTTTTGTTAAAATCTTCTTATGTATTGTGCTTAAACTATTTTTATTAGTAATAGTATTGCAATATAAACAACATTGACTTGCAACTTCTTCTGCATTTTGCACTATCATTTCATTGGATATAAAATGTTTTTCAAACTGGGTAGTTTTTTTACCGTTGAGTGTTTGACTAACGCATTTGTCTTTCTATAATTCTACTTATCAAAGTAATAATGTGTAATTTTGTTTTCAAATGAATTTAAATGAATATGATTTTTTTTTTTGTAGTATTTATATACATAATTTTTGTAATTTTCTTATAGATGATATATGCAATATGTGCTACAATAATTAATGTGTGTCATGCCTTTAAACGAAAATGATTTTAACATCGTTATGGCAGAAGAATGTACTAAGAACAAATCAAACATTATGAAAAATGCTATATATTCAAATTTTGAAGTTATTCCAGAAACAGTATTTTGTATTTATCAATCAACGTTTATCTTTTGAGATCATATTCATTATTTAACAATCTATGTTTTATTCACAATAGTGTAAGTACATTCAAATACCTATGCACTTACACAATTCCCCTTTGTAAAGCTAAGTCAATAATTTTTTTCCTTTTCTGGAGTCCCCATTGACACTTAACGGCAAGTGCAGCAGCATTCTGTGCTAACGCATCATCTTCAAGTTGATCAAATTTGGATAAAGGAAGAGCACATATTAGAGCTCCGCAATCCGTTATGTTGTCAATGGATAAAGATGAAGCATCCTAAAATAACAAAATCACTTTATAGATAACAGCACAACTCTATACTTTACACTTACTCACAGGTTTATCAGTTTAATGTACCATGAATAATTACAACTATTGTGATATAAACAAGAAATGATTATAACAGGATGCTGTTACGAAGTCTCCCAAACAAAGTTCCTATAATTACTGTCATTCCCATTGTTGGCGGACATTGGGCAAACTCCAGTAAAAATTGGTTTGGTCCAGTAAAGTAATATGCGTAAGTGACCCCTCGGGACTGACCATATATATCATTCAAATCTTCGTCACATGACGAACAGGAATATATATGGTTTAGGGGTGGGGATCTCGACCATTTACAAGATATTTGAACATATTAAAATGACAGGGGGTGGGGATGACCCCTTGGGTCTTACCCTGTATATCATTCAAATCATCTTGGCATGACAAACCAGAATATATATGGTTTAGGGGTGGGGATCTTCACCACTTAAAAGATATCAGAACTTTCTAAAATAGCAGGAGGTGGGGTGATCCTTAAGGACTGACCCTATATATCATTCAAATCTGCTTGACATGACGAATAGGAATATATATGGTTTAGGGGTGGGATCTCCACCATTTACAAGATATTAGAACTTTCTCAAATGGCATGGGGTGGGGGTGATCTCTGGGGACTAACCCTCTATTTCATTTGATGTGCTGAATCATAACAAACCAGAATATATATGATTTAGGGATGGATGGGGATCTCGACCACTTACACGATATTAGAACTCTCTCAAATTGCAGGGGGTGGGGGTGACCCCTGGGGACTTACCCTTTATTTCATTTGATGTGCTTTACCATGACAAACCAGAATATGTATGGTTTAGGGATGGGGATCTTGATCTCTTACAAGATATTAGAACTTTGTCAAATGGCAGGGGGTGGGGGATTACTAACGGTTTTCAAGTTATAATCATTTGAAAATAAAAATAAAAAATAGAATCCCATTGGGTTCTATAGTAAACCCCTCCCTTCTTTTGGCCCCTCAAAGTACCCCTTTTTAGGCCCTACTGATTGCAGTGATTTCCTAGGTGTATTTGGCTAAATCTTCAGGATTTTGGGTCCTCAATGCTCAACATTGTACTTTATTTGGAATTTTTAACTTTTTTGATTCCAGCGTCACTGGCGAAATCTTTTGTAGATGAAAAGCGTGTCTAGCGCACTCAATTTTAAGCCTGGTATCTAGGATAAGTTTATATAGAACATCAAATTAATTTCGAAATCTTTCAATTTTATTATTTTTCAAACTAACAGCTTTCGTGGTGGTATCTTTAATTTCTAACAAACAGAAGATCAATAGATGCTATTTGTCAGATGTCTTCGTGTGTTTTTACCATTTTCTTCGGAAAATGCCTGTACCAACTTAGAAATATAAGTTGTTTTAAGTCTATCTGTTGGTTTCTATAATCGACCGTTTGATTTTGTCAATTTTTTTATGGCCTTCATCACCTTTTTGTATTTTATGCCATGGAGTTCGGTAATTTTGTTATATAACATTTTTTGTAGACAGTAAGATACAGAGGAAGGAAAGACAAACATCAGTCTTCAAAACACTACACAGAAAATTAATAAAGAGAGAGAGCAACACGAAAAAACAAAAAACGGGAAGCGGTATGTAGATCCTTTTCTAGTAGGGATAACCGGCGTGTTGTTCATGACTAGTTAAAAAATTTGATGATAAATTTCATTTGTTGAAGTCAAAATCGAAGCGAAAGGTCAATATGCTGGCTACATCAAATGGAACATATCCGTGGTCGTCTGTTACAGATATTCGACAACTAACCACTAAATCATAATGACGTCCGAAGAACCTTCAAAAGAAAAAAAATAATTTAACCATCAAATATGATAAAACAACATGTAATGAATTTCATACTTCCTAAGCGCTTTTCTGGATTTACCTTCATCAGAAACGCTCAAAGCCGAATATTTGAAAGCCAAGGATGTATAAGAACCAACTATCTTTCTAGCAAGGACATCATGATAGATATACACTTTCGTATGCATTCACCCCCCATATTTATTCATACATTGATGACATAAATGAATAGTATAGTTGTATCCATCTCATTCTGACTGAACTGATTTTTCTTCCTTTTTTGTGAGGGTATTTACATTGCACTGGCCTAAGCTAACATGAATGTTGAGTATAAATTGTAGGTGTGCAACTTTAAGCGTTCATGATAAAGGTAAATCCGGAAAAGCGCTTCAGATGTATGGAATTTATAAAGTGTTGATTTGATTTTTTACTTAGTCGATACCATTTCTGGCGGACTATCAGCCCCAGAGAGTATCATCAGCTCAGTAGACAATATTTCGGTACTGGCATGATTTATAACAAACCTTTCTTAAATTGACCGTTTAAAAAATGAGTAATTAGTAAGAAACTAAGGTTTCAACTCCGTCAGGCAAAATTGAACTTAGATAGATTTGGCTACTATTTTTATGTCCTTTTTGGTTATATTACTCTTCAAATATTTCTGTTCTTATACATCCTTGGCTTTCAAATATTCAGCTTTGAGTTTTCCAGATGAAGGAAAATCCAGAAAAGTGCTGCGGACGCATGGGATTTATAACGTGTTGTTTTATTGTTTTTCTGTCATTAAACGTGTGGTGGGCAATGATAAATAAGAAAATGTTGCATGGTAATTGCCTATGCGAAAACTATCCACCCTAAAACCCAAAAGAAAACATAGAGACACCTTTATTATACAGTCTCTTATATTAACAGTTTTGATTTGTTTCACATTTCCTGATAATCTTGAAATTAGACATCCACAATTACATACCATGCATTTAGTACAGAAATGAGCTTTCTGCAAAACCTTTCCCATAGGAACTTGTGATACGTCTATTTGACCAATGACACTGCAAATGTCATCACGATGATTTACTCCATATTTTTCCAATTCTTCTTCTCTGTAAAAAAAATATAAGCTTATTGTAACTTAGTTATTAATTTAAAGGGCATGCAATCAAATAATTGATTGATTGATTGTTGGTTGCTTAACGTCCAGTGGCAAATATTTCATGCATATTCAGGACGAGAACAAGTTAACAATAAATACAATAGGTAGGTTCTGTAATAGGGGCTTCCGGGATTAAGGTCGCAGAAATTTAGACTGCCACGGGAAATGAGGGTATATTGGATAGGGACAGAAATTTAGCCTTGCAACAGGTCACCTACGGACCCCTCAAAGAGTTGTTGCAAGGGTTCTTAACGTGCAAAGAGCGTGGCACTCTCTTTACACGAGGCATCGGATTTAACGTCCCCATTCTGACCGGACGTGGCTGCAAATTTGTACATCCCGCACAGCCAAACGGACGCCCCACTTTAGCAAGGGTTTTACTGCCGGTCGGAGGAAGACCAATAGTGACCATACTTCTATGCCCCAGTCACCCTTGGGGGCTGCAATCAAATATCATACTAATCTATACCTATGAGTGCGTTTATGGTTGAACCTCCTTGAACTACAAAAATGTTGAAAAAGCACTGAAAACAAGAAATGATTGTAACAGGATGCTGTTACGAAGTCTCCCAAACGAGGCTCCCATAATTCGTAATTCCCAGGGTCGCCTGACATTGGGCAAAGTCCAGTGAAAATTGGTTTGGTCCAGTATATTTATATGCATTAGTGATGCCTGGGGACTAACCCTGTATATCATTCAAATCATCTTGACATGACAAACCAGAATATATATGGTTTAGGGGTGGGGATCTCGACCATTTACAAGATATTAGAACTTTCTCAAATGGCAGGGGGTCATGATGACCCCTGGTGACTAACCCTGTATATCATTCAAACCATCTTCGCATGACAAACCAGAATATATATGGGTTTGGGGTGGGGATCTTGACCACTAACAAGATATTAGAACTTTCTTAAATGGCAGGGGGTGGGGGTGACCCCTGGGGACTAACCCTGTATTTCATTTGATGTGCTTCATCATGACAAACCAGAAAATATATGGTTTAGGGGTGGGGATCTCGACCATTTACAAGATATTAGAACTTTCTCAAATGGCAGGGGGTCGGGATGACCCCTGGGGACTAACCCTGTATATCATTCAAACCATCTTAGCATGACAAACCAGAATATATATGGTTTAGGGGTGGGGATCTTGACCACTTACAAGATATTAGAACTTTCTTAAATGGCAGGGGGTGGGGGTGACCCCTGGGGACTAACCCTGTATATCATTCAAATCATCTTGACAAGACAAACCAGAATATATATGGTTTAGGGGTGGGGATCTCGACCATTTACAAGATATTAGAACTTTCTCAAATGGCAGGGGGTCATGATGACCCCTGGGGACTAACCCTGTATATCATTCAAGCCATCTTAGCATGACAAACCAGAATATATATGGTTTAGGGGTGGGGATCTCGACCATTTACAAAGATATTAGAACTTTCTCAAATGGCAGGGGGTCGGGATGACCCCTGGGGACTAACCCTGTATATCATTCAAACCATCTTAGCATGACAAACCAGAATATATATGGTTAAGGGGTGGGGATCTTGACCACTTACAAGGTATTAGAACTTTCTTAAATGGCAGGGGGTGGGGGTGATCCCTTGGAACTAACCCTGTATTTCATTTAATGTGCTTTATCATTTAGAACATTTTCAATTAAAAAGATTGTGTCTATCACTAACGGTTTTCAAGTTATAATCATTTGAAAATTTAAAAAAATAAAATCCCATAGGGTTCTATAGTAAAACCCTCCTTTCTTTTTGCCCCTCAAAGTACCCCTTTATAAACCCCATTGCACAAACAAAACCCTGATTGCACCACTAGACATGTTAGTCTAACATATTGTGAAACCCTAAGTTAATCTGACAAGCGGTTTTGGAGAACGGGTGCGGACAAGTTCAAATTTAAAAGCGGCGGAAGAGGAAGAGGAAGAAGAATAATAATAATAATAAGAACTGAGCAAAAACAATAAGTCTTCCCAAACTTCGTTTGGGAGACTTAATTAATGTAGAGTGAATTCAAAAAAAGATTGACGTGCAAAGAAGCTACAGATAATTTTATAAGCTTTTATAGATATGATTATTGATCTGCATGTTAGAAAAAATTGTCATTTTAAATATTTTAGAATAAAACAACACTTGTTCCGACCTTTCTTTTTTACGACACAAAATAATGAAATTTTGTCATGACAATTCATGTGAAACAAAATCTGGAAGTAGACTTCGTATTTATTTTGTTGTAAAATTAATATGTGTTGTCAAAATCTTACTCTACTCTATATTACGACATAGAACTCCTATATAACTTAATATGAAATAAACATCGCTGTTTTACTTTGAATTAAGACAATTTCTCTTGCAAACGTTTTCATACCTGGCGGATTTTATTGATGTTCTGGAGAACGGAAATACGATATGGCCTATGCCTCGTCCACAAATTTTTAGTAAAATTGCTTGCAGTAAGTTATATTCTTCATTGTTATATACAAATCTGTATGGATGCTGAATGGCGCCCATACAAAGCAGTCCCGAACAGTGAAAATATTGCGAAAAATTGACAAAAATATTATGAATGTTGAAAACGCCAAATATTAAGTCTTGTTGTTTATTTTGACGGGAAAAACAAAAACATATAAATAGGGCAATTTCCTGGGGTTCCTGGCTTTACTCTTTTATAAGGTAGTTTTGATGATAAAAAATATCTTTTTCTGCAATTTTGAAATTTCTGTAGGCCAAAGGAACCTGTATACATGTAGTGTATATTAAATAATCATTTAAACAGGATTGTAAAGTATTTGTAAATCTTATTGATATCTTTACAAAAATAAATCGTAAATTATGAATACGATTTTCGGGCTGAAATTGCCTCCTCGTTTAAAAGAGAGGCGAAAGACACTAAAGGAACTTCAAACTCATAACAATATTTTAGTGTTTCTCTTTTTGTCGAGGTTAACTTAGAATCAATTGATAACAGTTGAAAACAATCGGTATTAAGCTGCTAGACTCGATAAAAGAAACCTAAAAAAAGTCTTAGCAATAGTAGTTACCATGAACATTTTGTCCTTACGAAACAAATTTCAACATTCTACTTATCGGTACATCAAGTAAATTTCTGCCTTGTATCGATCTTATGAGTTATCCTTTTTCAACTGATATTTATAATTTGTTCTTACGTTGTGCTGTAACAACACTGTCCCAGGCTAGGGGAGGGTTGGCTGCTCAAAAACATGTTTAACCCCGCCACATTTGTTATGTGCCTTTCCAAAGTCAGGAGCCTGTAGTTCAATGGTTGTCGTTGGTTCATGTCTGTCACATTTGTTTTTCGTAAGATTGTTTTGTTATAAATTTGGGCTGTGAGTTTTCTCATTTGGATTGTTTTATATTTTTCATTTCCGAGCCTTTTATAGCCGACTATATTGTATTGGTTTTTCTCATTGTTGAAGGCAGTAGGGTTGCCTATATTAAATTGCTTACATCCACTTCATTTAAACTTTGCCAGAAACAAGAGTAAAAATTGTTAAAACAGTTATTGTTTTTTTAAACCTTTAAATAGCAAAATTCTATTGAATTTGATCGTTCGAAAATTACAAAATCTTCAAACAATTTGGCTTACAGACATAAATAAAAATGATATTTTTTTTTCTACGAAACGTTTTACAGTCGCTCTCTGAAAAAGTGTATGTCATTATCTACGTTCTATCTTTGTATCAATTTACATTATCTGTAAGCATTAGCTTATACTAGGATGGTTGTTCAGATCATATCTTCTAAAATATTGCCGTTTGTATATGAAGACAACGGACATATAGCTAAGTGCAGTATATAGCTTATCACTGAAACATAACTCCATTATTCAATCCATTTTTTTCCGATCAAATTTTTCCCATCCTACCAAGATTTTATCTAAATATTGTCACGAGTCATTCTAAAAACTGCTCAGTACATAGTTTTTAGAAGCATTTCATGTATGATGATTATGATCTTTTGAGATTTGAATTTTTTAATCTTTAAAAAAATGTAATTCCTAAATTTAGTGCTTGGTTTACTTTTTCAATTTTCTTAGATGCTGCTGCATCATTCTCATAACCAAATGTAAACAACATAAATGCTTGGTCACTGTTTCAATAACTGCTAGAATGAAACGCAAAGATGACCTCCATCACATTTGTAAAAGTTGTCTCCCATATTCAAGGTCTACCCCCATAAGGCGCGACAGTAATATACCGATGTTAAAATCATATCATGTAATGTTTATCTGTTTATGATAATACTTTTGATTAAATAGTATTTGTGGGTCCATATTTTGAATATCTTCTGATGTCACTGTAGTCGAATTCACTTCTTGAACAGATAAAAACTTCTGCAGTATAATTTTTTTCTGAAATAAAAGATATCATAATGTAAAGTAAAATACAAATTAATGCAAACTTTTTTCAAACTCCTTGACCTAGAAAATAACAGTAATATGTCAACTATTCTCTATGACAAAGGCAAAACCTAACCTTTTCAGATTACTGGTGTCACCCATCTTTATCTTTATTTTGGTTTATTTTGGTTTGGTGTTGTAATCAGTCTCCTTTTTTAAGCCAGTGTTGTTAATTTTATTGGTTCTGGACCTTTTTCTCGTTCGTAAAACATTCGAATGAAAAGTGATTTTTTTTTAATTCTCTATTTAAGATATATATTCTTATAGTAAATTTTTGGATTATACTCGACTAATGATAACATTTATTTAGTAGACAAGTCCTATGATATAACTCAAACACGATTTCACAAATGAATAAAATTGAAACTGGGTCTCTGTCTTTTTATCTATCATGTCCAAGGGTTAAAAGTCAAAACTGAAAACGTTCATTATCTATAATTATTCAGTAGCACTGCATGTATAGGGCCAGCACTCTATAATAATACTTTTGGGACATCTAAGCTTCCTGCAGGTTTTTTTGTGAGGTTAATGCTGCTTAATCTTGTTCTTTTGGTCACACAAATAACAGGAAATGTTGTATATACAGAAGGGAGCCCCCCCCCCCCCCCCCCCCCCATAAAAATCAAATGGCAGCTCCCTAATTAGGAACACAACATTATACTTAAAAAAAAGAAAAACCATCCACATTCAACATACGATGTTCCATGGCTATAAGATGTGTCATACTCTTATGGGCTAAATCTAGAATACTATTATACATTATGAAACTATAAACAACGACAAGTACTGGCGACGTTAGTGATTTAAGTAAGGTATATTAATATGTTGTGTGGTAAAAAAAAGAGCGGCAAAGGATACCAAAGAGACATTTAAACTCACAAGTCGAAAATTAACTGACAACCCTATGTCTAAGAGAATTAAAAGACAAACAAACAACAGTACACCAAACACAACATAGAAAATAAAGACTAAGCAACACGAACCCGGCCAAAAAATGGGGGTGATCTCAGGTGCTCCGGAAGGGTAAGCAGATCCTGCTCCACATATGTGGCACCTGTCGTGTTGCACATGTTAGTACAAACCCGGTGACAAGTTTAATTCGGTAGCTCAATTCACTCATTTTTATCTCCAACTTATGAATAACGAAAGGTAAACAGGACAGGCAATGCAAAACATTAAAACAAGAATACATAGAGCAGGACACAATGCTCCACTCCCACTTTCACATTTCAATGTTGAGCGGACTGTAGACTCTGGGTCAAAACACTTATTTGGCATAAATATAAAAAAGATATGTCATATAAGCCTTTAGTTTTTATGTGTTTTGTATACTGTTGTCTTTTTGTCTTATTTTTTGTTTTTATTTTGTCCGTTGCATTTAGAGTTTGCTTTCGACTTATGAGTTGAACATCTCTTTAATATCGTTTGCATCTCCTTTAAAACAGCACATTACATAATGAACATGTGTACTAAGTTTCGTGTTGATTTGACAATGAACTACTTTTAACGAAAACTTTAACCTGATAAGGGACAGACAGACTGACGGAAAGACCATAAAATATGATGCCCCTCTACTATTGTAGGCGGGGCAAATAGCCACACAACTCATGATTATGAGAAAAGACGAAACACACATAAAAGTAGACAATATCACAAAATACCGTTACAACGAATGCTTGAAGCTATTTAAAACACACACACTATACCTAACCCTTACCGTGCAGGGGCCGTGTTATTACGGCCTCTACACAAAATGCCATTATTTGGCTCCAATGGATCTCCATACTTTTAGAATTCAACTGCATGTTTTTATTTTCGAAATTGATGTAGGTTATTTATTTTTACAGTTCTTTGGTTTAATGTGCAGTTTGAGCCTAAATACAAACTTCGAAAATTGAAATCGGATAAAATGGTTTTGCTAGAGGGGTGGGTTCCATTCGGTGTCTGACACACGTAATACAGAGGCCTAAAACTTTCAAAAAAATGTTAACCCGCGGTCATATAAGTACAGATCGTGTTTATTATTGAAATACGCTTATGGAACGACTGTGCCGGTTGCAGGACTAGGTGAAGCTAAAAATCATAAAAAAATCAGAAAATTCTGGACTTCCGATTGAAATGACCTTCTTTAGACAGCCTACCCAGATCTGTTTCAATCCGACCGAAACACTGTTGTGGTAAATGTGAACAATGGTTCACTCTAAATGCAGACTTTATTGGTATACATCTATCAGTACCCCCTCAGTCTTCCAGGTCAAGAAAGGACAAAAAAAGCCAATCCTGCCACTTTTCACACCAGATGACCAACTTTAGGGTAACATATAGCCCCTTGATTCCCTACCTTTTCACCCAATACACCCCGCCCCTTGATCCCTTATCTTAGCTTTGTTGGCATCAATAAGCACAGGCATCAGGGTATGTATAGCTCGTTTGCATATATTTGCAAATATTAAAACGAACATTTTCTGAAACAATTCAGCATGGTAAAAGTTAATATACAAAAGGGCTAAGTGACATTCCCATGATTTGTTGACCATATTTTTTTCTGGAATTGTGTTTATTATAATATTCTTTTATGATTTACTTCTACCCAATTTTCACTCGGATTTTTATGGAAAAAACATAGAAAGGCTGAACATTTCCGACTACACAGTCGAAACAGGCCCAAAAACCCTTATGTTTTTGGGTAATCACATTAAACCGAGCGCTGTTGATGAATCTTGTGAAGACGAAACGCTTATCTGGCGTTCTAAATTATAAGCCTAGTATCTTTGATGAGTTACTTCATACGATAATCTACATTCTTTCGAATTCAAACAACATTGGAGATTATATATTTCTTATTACTTGATAAGAATGTTGAATTGCATGAAAAGTGATACATGTATTATAAATAGTGCTTCAACTGTCACCAATGTGCTTATTTGGAGTTCATGACAGGTATCAAATGTTTTAATTAACAAGTATTTCTGTGTTGACAAGAAATATCAATGCAACAATCGATTACTTTTTTTTCTATTTGCAAAATTCATAATTATTTGGTGCTCTTAGGTTTTTATATTTTAGTTTTATTTTATGCAGAGATGGCCTTAACCGTATTTGGCACAATTAATCGGAATTTATGTTTGTTTTCAATGTCCTTTACCTTCGTATTTGTGTTGGCTTCCAATTTTTTTTTATTTATGTGGCACTGATGAGTTTTATATAGAAGAGACGCGTGTCTGGCGTAACAATATAGACCTGTGAGTTCTTTTCTTTTAAAGTTATACTAAAAAGAGTATTTTTACTCTTAAGATTGTTTGTGAAAAGAGCCTCTGGTATCTTTAATGAGTATTTACAACCAGGTGGTCGATGCCACTGCTGGTGGACGTTTCGTCCCTTAGGATATCACAAGTCCAGAGATCAACACTTCTGTGTTGACATGAAATATCCATTACACGGCAAATTTCTGTAAATACCCTTTTTACATGTTTTTGAATTATTCAAAACACTAAGATGTTTCTACCCAAAGGTAAAGATGGTATAAACCGTGTTTGGCACAACTTTTCGATTTTTTTAAATGTTCAATTTTCACCAACTTGTTTGACCCTCCGTTGTTTTTTCCAGCACGAGTGTTGAGTTTAATGTGGACGAAGCGCCCGTAAGTTGTAATATATTAGGATAAAGGACTTTCCGTGTTGAATTTTTCTAGGAGTTCAGTATTGATATTTTACTTTTTTTCTTACACCTTATATCTTTGTATTTTAAGTGCCAATCTGCCTAAGAATCAGGCAGTGGTGAAAACATGACAAACAAAAACCCACTCAAGTTTACATTTTTTAAGTACAACATGTATAATGGTGCATGAATGTAACATTCGTTTCCTTTTCCAGTAGTTCAAGATATAATTTGGTTGAAATGCACTAGATATGTCTCGCCTATTTGTTATTTTAATAATGCAAATGTTGAAAATAAAATAGCAATACTTTGACATGTAAGTTATGCAAATATTCAAAGACAATGAACCATGAATGAAGGTACAGGTCCATGGAAATGAGATGTTCCAATGCTAATACAACTGCATACCAAATTAAATAACATTAACAAGTCCTTCCCTTTAAACAAACCTAAACACAAACATTAACTTGTAAACTATGTAAAATTTTCAAAGTCAGTGAACCATAATGAGGGGATGGGGTTATACAATCTCCGTTGAAATGAAACTTGCAAATGCCAATACATTTGCATACCAAATATCATTGACTTAACATAAGTGCTTCATCATAAACTGACCTAATCACAAACTGATACATGTAAACTAAGCGAAAGTTTCAAAATCAATAGACCATGACTGAGGGGTAAGGACCAAAAATTGTCCATGGAAATGAGATGTGCTAATGCGTATACAACTGCATACCAATTATCATTGACCTACCACTAACGGTTCCCCTTAAACTGACCTAATCACAAACTAATACATGAAAACTAATCAAAAGTTTCGAAATCAATAGACCATGACTGAGGTGGCGTGCCAAATAATCTCCAGGGAAATGAGATATGCCAATGCTTATACAACTGCATACCAAATATCATTGACCTAACACTAGTGGTTCCCCATAAACTGACCTTACCACAAACAAATACATGTAAACTAAGCAAAATTTCAAAGTCAATAGACCATGACTGAGGGGGCGGGGCCAAATAATCTCCTTGGTCATAAGATGTGCCAATATTTTTACAATTGCATACCAAATATCATTGACCTACCGCTAGTCGTTCACCATAAACTAGACCTAATCACAAACTAATACATTGTTGACGCCTAACCCTAAACCTAAACCTAACCCTAAGCCGACACCGGAAACAGCATACCTATGTCTCGCTTTTTGACTCCGTCAAGGCGAGACAAAAATCAAGGTGAGCTAACTTAGTAATTTGCTATCATTCTAACCAAAAGTTATCTAGAGATTTCTCGAATTACCAAACACACAGAAACGAAAGACATGCCAATTCTTATTTGGGATGAGGGTAACTTCAAAATAGGATGGTTAGGTAGGTGGGTTTTTCTTGGCCATGTTTTGATATTTATCTAAATTGCCTGATTCTTACAAAGACTGGCACTTATCTGTAAAGTTTTTCTCTTGAATCCTCATATTTGAATTCATTTGTGTATTCTTCTGTTGTATACATTGGTTTCATTGTGTTGAGGGGTTATTGTCATATTGATGTAAACCTTTAAACCAATTAGAATCAAGGGAAAGTTTTATTGTCCTAGTACATAATTCTCTTCATTCAAGCTATGCACAGGATGCACAGGATTACAGAAATAAAGCAGACAAGGTATGAGACAAACCACTTAACTCTGTCAATATTTATTATATTTTACCTGATTTCCAGTGATGCATTTTGATACAAGGAAGGAATCTGCTACTGCATAAATCTGTGAATCAGATACGTTTTTCAGATGACGTAAAGGCATTCCGCTGAGGATATTAGATTCCTGTAATGCTCTGTATACCCCTGTTGTCCAGTTTAGATTGTCAGTAGTTGGTGGTCCTATTGTTCTTGTCAACGCTCCATAAAGATAATTAGCCTACAATTTTGAATATACCTACATTGAAACTAAGTATGTTAGACTTTGTTTAAAATGATAAAGTTAATAAGAGGATAACAAATCAGCCTTACTAAGATATAATACAGTTAGAGTTGCGAAACCATATGATTTCAAGAAACGTACAATTATATTTATGAACTAAATATTTACTACGTACAATAATGGTTATTAGTCTATGGTTTTAATGTTGAAAACGATGAAACATTTTCTATCGTAAAATGAATAGATTCGGATATATGTAATTAACGGTGTAAAAACAAGCAAACAAATTCATCGCATGTTCTTTGAGGTCGGTAAACTACTTTCGCCTTATTCATGTTACTTTAACCATGAATGTAAATTTTAATGTTACTGAAACTTATAAAGTCATTTCAAAATACTGATTTATCGAATTTTAAAATTACATTTTTATATTTTATACAAATAAACTCATCATAGATACCAGGATTAAATTTTGACACGCGTTTCGTCTACAAAAGACTGATTAGTGACGCTCGAATAAAAAGCTAAAAGGTCCAAATAAAATACGAAGTAAAAGAGCATGGAGGACCTCAAATTTATCGTAAAGAAAGTTTTAGTACAGAAAATGTCCTATTACATACTAATTTTAGAATGGTGTAATATATATATATATATATATGTTTTAATTCATGATACCAATTTGACTGCACCAGATGCGCATTTTGACAATTAAGGTCAGTGATGCTCAAAGCTTAAATATATGATAATTATGCCCCACCAAGGGGCATTATGTTTTTTGGTCTGTGCGTGCGTTCGTCCGTCCGTCCGTCTGTCCCGCTTCAGGTTAAAGTTTTTGGTCAAGGTAGTTTTTGATGATGTTAAAGTCGAACCAACTTGAAACTTAGTACACATGTTCCCTATGATATGATCTTTCTAATTTACATGCAAAATTGGAGTTTTGACATGTATATCTATTATATAGTCATTTTTTATAAATTTACTGTTTGCAAAAGTATGAATTATTCTTATTACTAGGGATTTTCTTATCCCAGGCATATAACCTTAGCCGTATTTGGCACAACTTTTTTGAACTTTTGGTTCTCAATGCTCTTCAACTTTGTACTTGTTTTGGCTTTCGAACTTTTTTTATCTGAGCGTCACTGATGGGTCTTATGTAGACAAAACGCGCGTCTGGTGTATTAAATTATAAGCCTGGTACCTTTTGATAGCTATTATTTGTGTGTGTCTCTGTCCTGTATGTTCTCCCATTTATTTGTATTGTAGTCCTGTCATGTAATCTTGTCATTTTAATGTTATTTTTAACATTGCCATAAAAGCGGGAGGTTTGGTTAGCCACAAAACCAGGTTCAACCCACCATTTTTTCTTAAAATGTCCTGTACCAAGTCAGGAAAATGGCCATTGTTATATTATAGTTCGTTTCTGTGTGTGCTGCATTTTAGTGTTGAGTTTCTGTTGTGTCATTGTTCTCCTCTTATATTGGGTGTTTCCCTCAGTTTTAATTTGTAACCCGGATTTGTTTTTTTCTCAATCGATTTATGAATTTCGAATAGTGGTATACTACTGTTGCCTTTATTTGACCCCAATTTCACGGTCCACTGAACAAAGAAAATGATAGTGCTAGTGGGCATCCATGTACTATGGACACATTCTTGTTCAAAACCTACTTTAAAGGCTGATAAAACAAAAAGTAACATAAAGTATAGAGAAATCCGGTCAAGAAATCAGAGCTTTGCGCGGGTGAGATTTATTCTTCAATTTTACATATGATTTCCAAATCTATATAATAGCAAATTGCAATCAAACAATATCCGTTTTTGTCATGCCAGTACCAAAGTATCGGGCTGGTGATACTAGGGATAAACAGTCCATTACCAGAGGTATCGACTCACAGGTCGTTAAACCATTAACGGTACCAATTTTACTGTACCAAATGGGCAGTAAGAGTTTATTTCTGTTAACTATAGCATACAATGGAGAGAGTCTGCTGTTGTCTCATTGGCAATCATACCACATCTTATTTCTATAAATAAACATAGCAAATGATATATTTGATAAATTAGAGTGTCACACCTCGTCAAATTTCTCAAATTTATTGGAGCCTACTTATTGCAAATTAATAAGCAGAATTGGTTGTCATTGTTTTTTGTATAAAATGCAGCTTTTTAAAATTTTGTATTTTAGTCTTAAAATCTGACTAAATGAACAATTCATATAAAGAAACTCTTATCTGTTTCAGAGTTCTTGGCTGATTAGATCTACATAAGTATTTTCCAAATATCTAAACTCACTTTTTTACAGTCTACTTTGAATGTCAATGGTTCTCCTGACTGTAACTGATCAGCTATTTCTTGTCCCATATCTACACTTTTACGCAACACAGCTGATGGTATAAATTTACCTAATGGTGTTTTTGCAAGTGCAGCAATTATGTTACTATCTCCTTTCACCTAAAATTAGACCAAAAAAAGGTAAAGCTATGACACCACTTGCCTTAGGACAGTGAAACTATTTTAGCTTTTACCCAAGAAATTCAACAAATGTTGAATGGACCCAAACAAACGTGAATATCTATTTCGTTAGCAGTACCTATTAACAGTAACTCCTGATAACATTTAATCAACATCTGACCTCACATGAAAGCTGCAAAAATCAAATTTAAAACAGAAATGCTTCAACCGGTTTTTATTGATTATACTTTATCAATATACCTGTGAAGACTTTACTGTTGAAATAAAACATGTAAATGATTTAAAATCAAGGTGAGACTTGCACTATACTAACGAAACATGTTCTCGAAAAATGTTCATTTTTTGTTTCGTTGTCTTTAATGTTTCTCTTATTTCTTTAGTTTTCAAAATAATTTACTATACCAGATGAAGGTTAACATAACATAAAAAACATGAGTATCTTTGTTTTTAAATTTCAAATACCTTTCCTATAAGCTTTCTTATCATAGATTCTGGCGCCTGTAAGTTCCTTGATTCAAATTCAGATGTAAAATTATTAATAACATCCATTGTCAGCTGATTGGTTTGAATTTTTGCTATATCACGTGCACGGAGGCATACTTTGATGCTTGGTGGTAACGCTAACAATTCCGAAGAACTCAGATCGCCCTTGAATTAAAAAGAAATATAAAAAGTGTTTTGAATAAATTATGACATACAATCATGACAAACATATATACAGAGGAAAGGTATTTATATCAAAGCATGTATTTCTTTCTCCAAATGTATTCGTCACTGGTTCAATGATAAATTTGATACCAAACTAGTATTCAATGAATGAGTAGTTTAACATAAGGTTTGTTCTAGATTTAAACGCATGGGCGGAAGGGACCTCTACCACCCATAATTTAAATGTTCATTTCACTTATAATTCTTAAAATTTCTTAAGATAATGCAACCATCACAATTTGTTTATTTCATTGCCTCTCATACTCCCATGCATTTTAATCTGGTCCTTACTTGGTAGACAAAATATGTCTGACTTTGCCAGAATATCAAAGAAAATAACAAAATTATTTAGACAGTTCGGAAACTCGAAATTCATGAGTGGTTTTTTTTAAGAACAAAAGTAGAAATTTGATGTATTTATCATACAAAAGGCAATGACATTCACATGCATATTGCTATTTAGATATGTGGACCTTATCATCTCACTTTAAACAGTGATGGAAGTAGAACTCGTAATGAAGAGAGCAAATATTCTTTTTTCAACAAATTAAATGTAAATAAATATAAGGAAATATTGGGTATATGACAATAAGACAGCAATCCAACAATTGAAAATAGAAGAAATAGATAGAAATATTTATATCTTCAGCAATATCAAAATATTTATACGCAATATATATCCGACCTTTTGGTGAACTAAGTGTTATTTATGGGTTTGTACGTACATGAGGAACACGACGGGAGCCACATGTGGAGCAGGATCTGCTTACCCTTCCGGAGCACCTGAGATCACCCCCAGTTTTTGGTGGGGTTCGTGTTGCACAGTCTTTGGTTTTCTATGTTGTTTTGTATGTGTACTGTTGTTTGTCTGTTTGTCTTTTTCTTTTTTAGCCATGGAATTGTCAGTTTATTTTCGACTTCTGAGTTTGAATGTCTCTTTGGTATCCTTTGCCTACCTCTAGTAAGCAATATTATTTAATTTAAAGATTTAAATTTCATAATTAGTAAATGTCCTGTATGAATTTTCCTTAAGTAAAAACTAAACAAATTATGTAATGAAAGAATGTTTTGTGTTCATGAATTTCAACGAATGAATGCCTGAAAAGTAACATAAACAATTTTGTATATGAAAGACATAACAGAATTACTCACATTTGGTTTGGAAACATATGTTATGTATTTTTTCAGCACTGTTCTTGCCTGTTATAATTTAATCGATACGAATATAAAAATTACAACAATTATAAAGTGTTAATCCTTTTCAGCAATAACGAGTTACTACGTTTGATAAATTACAAAAAAAAATTACTACATAGTCATATAAGAACCTTGAAAAGGCATATTCAAAGTTATACTTTACAATAAGAGTCTCTCTCATTAGCTCCAAAAAATTAACCATAAACTACGTAAGATTAATTGCTTTTGACCGATACGCTGTGTTGGTGTCTCAACTCAGCTCTAGTAACATGTTTTCGAGACCTTTAATCTCTACATACCATTATAGACGTCTAATCTGTAATTTTACCATTGTGTCATATTCCCAATTGGGACATTTTTGCTGAGTATGAATTCGCATGTAAAGTAGGAGATGCTTACCCTGTCGACGCATCTGATCTCGCTCCTTTTGGGGTTAGTGCGATTCCTTCAGTTTCTGTTTATTACTTGGATTTGTCTCTTCCCAATCGATTTACGAGTTTTGATCATCGATAAACTACTGTCGCCATAATTTTTGACCAAAGTCTATTTCTCCGATTTCAGAGTACGTAGAAAATTGACCCAGTCACCCTAAATTTCGCTACAGGAAATCCAAAACCCTAATCTTTCATGAAAATGGCAGGTGACTTGTACCATGAAAGGAGCTAAATATGTTGAAAAAATATGAAAAATAGATATCCGTGATAAATGTAAGAAACATTATAAAATGCAAATACAACCTTTTTACTTAAAAACCGACCAGATGTTTAGGGATTCTCTGAATCAACTCCGAGGAAGTCAGTTGTATTCAACTTATTCATGGGTAGCGCATTGAGTAACTGAACATTATCAAAATACTAAAGTGATTGAACTGAATACGTCTTTGCATACGAGTATTTGTGACGTCAAATAGTTCTTTAATATTCTACTTTTGAGAGAATTTGGTATTTAAAAGTGCACACAAAATGCATTTGCTAATAAACATAAAGAAAGTTTATGCATGTAAGAGGATTCATGAAACTTAGACGAATTCTTAATTCATAACTCCCTTGTACTTTTTGTACTTTTCGGTTTATAAGCTGGTCATTTCTTTTATAAAACAAAGCAGGGTTAATATTGATATTACATTAACATGATCTCAACCTGAATATGCATTTAATTTGCCGCTGGACATTAAACGGCCATCCATCATAATCATCATCATAATTTTTTAATAAGTTTTGGATTTTCAAATATATATCTCGAGCAAAACTGAAGAGACATTTATTGTCGAAATGCGCATCTGGTGCAGTTAAATTGGTACTGTTAATGTTTTTTTTTATATCTTATGGTACTTTTACTAATTTACACATTGTCGAGGGCTCTGATAACTCAATGTTTTTCATTCTTGTAAAAATCCAAATAAAGCGCCCAAGTATCTTATTCTGAATGACGGCAAACAAATGGTTTTAATTCAAATCTTTCAACTGAGTAAGCATTAAAATATTAAGATGTAATGTCAAGTATTAACATAAGCAATTATCCTAAATTACTAACATTCATCCGTTAAATAATGTTGAAGAAAGATGTATACAATATTAGTTACCATTATAACTTACCACTTGGCAGGAGAACATGACATCGTCCAGAGAACCCTCTACAATAGCTTCACCAAGGGGTCCATTTGGTAAACTCCCAATTTGTCTCGGTGACAAAGTACCAAGTAGTTTTTTCAGGCATAGAATTTTATCTTTTGTGTAAACTGTCAGATCTTTATAATTGTCAAGTCTTTGTAAAACTGATTTAAGTTTCCTTGCCTAAGTAAAGAATAAGCAAATTATTTCATCAAATGTCAGAAGATCATTCAATCACAAAGCAAGAAAAAAACCATTCCGACTGTACTATTCAGGGAATGAGAAAAAAAAAATATCGAAATCATTTTGAAATGTTCAGAATTTTACTACCAAACAGGATATCTAAAAATTGAAAGCTATGTTTATTCTCAATTACACCATTAGAGATATTATATATCTTGATCTAAAATTATCTGTATTATTGAGACTCATATAGTGTTTACTGAAATTGTTACAAATGCTATAAAAACTTATAATTCATGCCAATCACTTTACACTGTTTCCTACTGAATTATTTTCGGGTAAAATCAGTATGAATGATTGTTAATTATTCATTGCATCAACAACCATTATATAGGAAGATATATATTTTTTACCTGATTGATATCATTAATTTGACCACCAATGTCACATATAGCTTCTTCTAGTGCAGTTGTATTAAGACCATTCATCATTTGCTTGTCATTCATGATCAGCGAAGAATACCTGTTATAGAGGGTTTTTTATCAATCAAAAACCTTTTGATTAGTCTCAGGCAAAGTGCTGAAGGCACAAACCTTTGCAAAGGTAAGGGAAACATCGGCTTAAAAACAAAATATCATATCCCGTATTCAGCGAAAATACATGTTGTTTTGCCTCGTTAATGAAAAAAATGTGTGTACCTCACTATTTCATAACATTACTTTTGACACTGCAAAATATATCAATTTTCCTTCATCTTTTCAAAAAAGTAAAAAAAAAACATAAATAGATTTAGAGTCTAGACCTTGAAGAAAATTATTTGTCAGAAACATGTAGCTTAAAAGAAAAATATCACTGGCGAAATATATAAAATACCAAACATCTGGTTTGATTATATAACTGGCGAAATATATAACATACCAAACATCTGGATTGAATATATCATTGGTGACATACATAATATATGTCACCAATGATATATTCAATCCATATATAATAAACCAAACATCTGGTTCGAAAAACATCACTGGTGAAATATATAACATACCAAACATCTGGATTGATTATATTATTGGCAAAACATATAAAATACCAAACATCTGGTTCGAAAACATCACTGGCGAAATATATAAAATACTAAACATCTGGTTTGAATATATCATTGGCGAAATATCTAAAACACCAAACAACTGGTTTGAAAGGTAGTTGCATCCTCTTTAATTTATTTACACTTTATACTTTACATGTTTTTCTTTAGTCATCAAGATGGATCAGTAATTTATCTAGATGTTTAGCTTACTTTACATGTTTATCTTTTGTCATCAAGATGGATCAGTTATTTATCTAGATGTTAAGCTTACTTTACATGTTTTTCTTTAGTCATCAAGATGGATCAGTAATTTATCTAGATGTTTAGCTTACTTTACATGTTTTTCTTTAGTCATCAAGATGGATCAGTAATTTATCTAGATGTTTAGTTTACTTTACATGTTTTTCTTTAGACATCAAGATGGATCCGTTATTTATCTAGATGTTTAGTTTACTTTACATGTTTTTCTTTAGACATCAAGATGGATCAGTAATTTATCTAGATGTTTAGCTTACTTTACATGTTTATCTTTTGTCATCAAGATGGATCAGTTATTTATCTAGATGTTTAGTTTACTTTACATGTTTTTCTTTAGACATCAAGATGGATCAGTAATTTATCTAGATGTTTAGCTTACTTTACATGTTTATCTTTTGTCATCAAGATGGATCAGTTATTTATCTAGATGTTAAGCTTACTTTACATGTTTTTCTTTAGTCATCAAGATGGATCAGTAATTTATCTAGATGTTTAGCTTACTTTACATGTTTTTCTTTAGTCATCAAGATGGATCAGTAATTTATCTAGATGTTTAGTTTACTTTACATGTTTTTCTTTAGACATCAAGATGGATCCGTTATTTATCTAGATGTTTAGTTTACTTTACATGTTTTTCTTTAGACATCAAGATGGGTCCGTTATTTATCTAGATGTTTAGCTTACTTTACATGTTTTTCTTTAGTCATCAAGATGAATCAGATATTTATCTAGATGTTAAGCTTACTTTACATGTTTTCTTTAATCATTAAGATGGATCAGTTATTTATCTAGATGTTTAGTTTACTTTACATGTTTTTCTGTAGTCATCAAGATGGATCAGTTTTTTATCTAGATGTTAAGCTTACTTTACATGTTTATCTTTTGTCATCAAGATGGATCAGTAATTTATCTAGATGTTTAGTTTACTTTACATGTTTTTCTTTAATCATCAAGATGGATCAGTTATTTATCTAGATGTTAAGCTTACTTTACATGTTTATCTTTTGTCATCAAGATGGATCAGTTATTTATCTAGATGTTTAGTTAACTTTACATGTTTTTCTTTAATCATCAAGATGGATCAGTTATTTATCTAGATGTTTAACTTACTTTACATGTTTTTTTTTAGTCATCAAGATGGATCCGTTATTTATCTAGATGTTAAGCTTACTTTACATGTTTATCTTTTGTCATCAAGATGGATCCGTTATTTATCTAGATGTTTAGTTTACTTTACATGTTTTTCTTTAGTCATCAAGATGGATCCGTTATTTATCTAGATGTTTAGTTTACTTTACATGTTTTTCTTCAGTCATCAAGATGGATCAGTTATTTATCTAGATGTTTAGTTTACTTTACATGTTTTTCTTTAGTCATCAAGATGGATCAGTTATTTATCTAGATGTTAAGCTTACTTTACATGTTTTTCTTCAGTCATCAAGATGAATCAGTTATTTATCTAGATGTTTAGCTTACTTTACATATTTTTTTAAGTCATGAAGATGGATCAGTTATTTATCTTGATGTTAAGCTTACTTTACAATTTCGTCTTTTGTCATCAATGATGGATCAGCTTTCTCTGTCTTCAAGATTCTTCTCATTTTTGCTTTATCTCTAGCGGAAACTTTTGCTGTGCTGCTGTCGAAACTATTTAAAATCTAAAATTAACCACAGTTCTAGTAAATAGTAAGAGTGTTTTAAACACAAAAGTATATATAAATAAGAGTTTCTAAAAAAAAAAAGTAATAGAAATTATCAATGTAGAAATTAAACAGAATCGCATTATGGACATATTCATACTAGTAATTAATCTATAATACAAAGATTACAAAAATAGAACACCATTTACTTCTGAATCTTAATTGAACATAAGAAATTAGTTCTTCGTTTATTTGTTCGATTATCACCCTTTCAGAATGTTGGAACGAGATTATATTTCTATAATGCACATACTAAGGTAGTTTTCGACAACTGTGTAAAGTTCCATCAACATTCGTGCAGCCAGCAATGAGCGATTGTGAAGACAAGGCACATTAACATACATGGTGTATTCCTTTATAACCAACACAATAATTTGGCTGTGGGGGTATACAAATAATTAAAAACTTCATTGTAAAAGAATGGAGTTCATGAGTCATCGTCTAGTCCTGGACTATTGATAATGACATTTGACATTAGAACTTGATAAGAAAAAAACTAATAAAAATCCTTAACCAAAACTATTTTGAATATATTACTCCACTGCAACGAAAATATAAACTCTACTAAAAAGTAAAATAACAAAAATACCGAACTCCAAGGAAAATTCAAAACGGAAAGTCCCTTATCAAATGGCAAAATCAAAAGCTCAAACACATCAAACGAATGGAAAACAACTGTCATATTCCTGACTTGGTACAGGCATTTCCTTATGCAGAAAATGCTGAGTTAAACCTGGTTTAATAGCTAGCTAAACCTCTCACTTGTATGACAGTCGCATAAAATTCTATTATATTGACAACAATGTGTGAGACGTAATAGGTGAAAATGTCAAAAATTGGGGTACAGCAGTCAACATTGTGTTATCATCTTAATCACTATAAAACAAACAATCATTTCAACAAAGAAGAACAAAATGGCATATAACCACTCTATAAAGAATTTACTGCACTTCAGAATCTTTCACAATGAAAATATTTAAATACTATTGAGTTTAACACAATTTAATTATATATAAACACTACTTAATCTAATTGAACTAAATCAACATACACTTATGTTTAGTTTTAATTTATTGAATTTCCCTCAATATAAATATCCGAAAACTAGCTGGAGATAAAAAGTAGACGAAATTCTAACGCTTGGACAGATAGTGTCGAGTTCGATTTTGACGTTTCAGTAAAAAAAGAATTTAATAGTGTAAAGTATTATTTAATAAAATATTCCTTTAAGATCATGAAAACCTCTTGCACGTTTTTTAACGGTGCGTTTTGCAACGTCAGTTCAAAAGATTGTTTTAATATAAATAAATTACTTGAACAAATGCCATTCAAAATATTCGAAACGAATAAATTATGACGTTGGGTACTCGTCAATATGACAGTAATCTCACGACCAGTAAAAAAAGTAAAGACATCATAAGGGGAACACACCGTCTTCAACAATAGACAAGTGTCTATACATTATATCGACAGTAAAACGCATCGAGCATAGACGAATAATCATCATAAATATTAATTGCTGCTCTGTGTGGTTTTTACTTTATTTTCTTTACCTCAGCATCAGTGACATATTTTTCCAGTTGTTTAAGATTTCCCCCACAAGACTGTAATAACCGAACGGCTGTTGATTTTTCTTGAGGGTCTTGGCTTTGTTTTAATATGTTGCTCAGTTTTTTACGGACTACATGTCGTAACCGTTTACTTTCAATAACTTTACAGCCATCGGATGCATTTTTCAACCTACAAAGAAGAATTTAAATGACGACAGTCCTTTTTTATCCACAACCCATACTCTTAGTGGCGAAATAGTGTGTCCTTTTATCCCAAGACGACTCATGTTAAGTAATCATAGGGTCACCGACTTAAACTTTGCTGTATAAACCAATCTGTAGTTGGTAGTGAAAAACGTCAAAAATCGACGTTATACGGCTTTTAACGCGACGATGTTACGGTGATTTGGACATTTTGTGGTATTTTTTTTTTACCTAAAACACCCTTTGAACAATCTATACCGTTAAGACGAAGTCGGTGACGCTTTTTTTAATTAACATCATTAAAACGGAAAAGCACAAAATACTTTACATGCTTAAGACTAAGCAACGTTTATCCCACTATAAAAAGCACAATTTGTTTAAACTAATTTGAGCACCACTTTGATTGGTTTTAACTGTGTGTTATATATCTATAACATAATAGAATCAAATATTTCATGCTGATTTCTTTGCAAAGTAACTTTGCAATAATGCCGATACTTTCAATAGTCTTCCTTCATAGATGTACCTAAAATGAAGAGCATTTCCAAAGAATTCAAAATATTGCATTGTGACCGATATTACATTCCATATTTTCTCCTTTAAGTTTGGTACTCATTAAAAAGGTCTGAGTAAAACATTTCTTGGATCAAACAAGATAAAGGAGAAAAATGGCACTGCGTCCTTACTGCAAGCATCAGATTCTACTTAAAGAATAAAGTTTACATTTGAAACATGATGTCGTCGGGGAAAAACTTGAGAAATTCTGTGTCTGCCTGCAAGACATTCATGTAGTTCATTCCATTCTGCTGCCAAACATTATTACTCCATGTGCTAAAGTCTCCATCACGATCAATCAAAAAGTTTCTAACTAAATCCAATGACGGGCGAAAATTCTGAAAAATATTGTGAAAAAAAATTCAGCTGTGCATATTTAAATATTAGATGACTTTTGTATAATGCGTTATTTATAAGACAAGTAAAAAATGAAACTTGAAAATTCTACATAGTACATATAAATATGTTCCTGAACAACCTTTCCTTTATCAATTAGTTATATTTTGTAATCTAAAGGTGTATTGTCTAGATAATTGTATATGAAAATAAGAAGATGTGGTATGAATGCCAATGAGACAACGATGCACCAAAGTTCGAATGAAGTGGATGTAAGCAATATATCAGCGAAAATTAGCTATTATAAAAGTATAATTATTCTAAACACTAAAGTTTTCGACGCCAGTATCCAGCAAGATATTGTACAACTTTCTTGAATTTTTTTTTCAAATGCTCTTCATATTTTGATTTGACCTTTCAACTGTTTTGGTTCGAGTGCCAGTGATGAATCTTATAATCTAATAGGAAACGTGCGTTTGGCATAGCATATTTATAAGCCTGGTACATGTATCTTGGGTGATATTTTTTCAGTATGGAATCTATAAATTTACTACTGATCTGAATTGTTATTGGTACATGCTGATAGGTAACGGATTACACCAGCTGTATGAACTATCTTGCTCAACTTCAAGCAGCACCTAATTGAAACAATATTTGACAAAAAACTAACTTAAAAAACCGAACATCAGCGCAATAAGGCAATTGGATGTGACGGAAATAGTTTTTCTTGAATTTTACTACTGTATGACACTACTTTACTTCCACCTTCAATATTGACATGCTGTCTATAACATTTAGGGAGCTACCATTTGATTTTTATGAGGGGCTAGGATGAAATTTGAAAAAAATAGGCAGGACAGGAGTTCTGAGTAAAAAAAAGGCAGGATGAGCAACTTGGCAAAAAAAAAAGACAGGATGACAATTAAGGTAAAAAAAGTCAGGATAAACTAGTAAAAAAAAGGCAGGTCCGAATAGAGCGAAAAATAAAAAGGCAGGACAGAGATTACGACTAAAAAAAAAAGCAGGAAAAAATTTTTCATCCTAGCCCCCCCCCCCCCCCCCCCCCCAAAAAAAATCTTATGGTAGCTCCCTGAGGCAAACCATTCCAATATGGTTGTACCGGCACGAAAAAAGAACTCATTTTGGCTGTCCTTAATATTAATTACATAATTTAAGTCACAAGAAGTTTGAAAAGTCCATAGATTAATATGATAATGTGTGAAAACCTTGATATGATGCAGTTAAATTGGAACCGATATATAGTTTCTTATTAACTTATACTTTCGTATGTTTGATGTCATGTTTTGATTATTTCACTTTTTTGTGTTGTGATCATATCCATTGATCTTATTTTTTTCTACCTGAAAACTTTTTCTATATATACCTTTTGATTTTGTTCGCAGAATGACATGTCATTTTCCTTTAAGAAGTATAGCTGTACCCGACAGTCTAAAAACATCAGTTGGTTGCAAATTTGTATCTTCGACGAAGACGACAAGGATTTCATCATATTCTGTAATGTTGTATTCTGTAAAATTGACACATGGTTCATAAGATATATGTGTACTCTGCAAACGTTTGTACATGTACTATTGGCTGCAAGGTATTTGCTACTTCTTTCTTTTTAAAATTTACGTGAGTTAAGTTAGTAAAGATGTTTTCCACTGAGTTTGTTTTTTGCTTTTAATCAGAACTAGGCTATCAAGAAATATTCCGACACACATTTTCATTTTTTATTCTAGGTGTGTAATCTGTCATTCTGAGTGTGTAATTTTTTATTATCATTGTGTGTTTTATTTATTCCCAGTGTGTATTTTTGAAATTTTAATTTCAGCGTGTGTTTTTTTAAAATCTCAATGTGCAATTAATCGATCTCAGTGTGTGTTTTTAATTTTTTATCTGAGTGTTTATATAGTTTTGCCGAGAACCAGGGCGGATTTAAGGGGAGGAGAGGGGGTTTGGGTGTCTTATGAAGCTTCATTTATGGTTAATCCAGACTTTTAACTGGTTCCACTATAAATTTTGTCTGGTTTGGGGGAACTTTCCTCCCCTTTTTTCAAAATCCTGGATCCGCATCTGAGAACGGCTTGTCATACTGAAGTTTAATTACTCTCCCCTTCCGTTCATTCACATGTTGCATAGCCATATCTTGACATACTTTTCATTTGGTTTGAAAAAGAAAAGACTCAATAGTTCAGAAGTATATATTAGTCACATCACACAACGGCCTGCACGGTCTTCAGTATTTAAATAAATACAATTTTTTAATTGAAGGCCGTCTTCAAAGGTCAATTTGTATGAAGATTTGCATGCGGTCTCATTTTTGGACTGAATACAATATTGGTTGTTCACGTGGTCGTTAAATTGTAGGCACAATTTGAAGAAATGACGAAGCAAAGAAAATGTTATATAACTGATAGAAAACGACAACTCTCAATGAAGTATTGGTATAATTACCCCCTAAATATCCACATTGATATGCAAATGAGGTAAAGGCAAAAATGATTTGAATTTTCACCTGTAAAGATCCTTGCTGAAATGAAAAAAATAGATAAACGGCTGTTGAACTCACGTTGCTTCACAGAGGAAGCCAATAATTTGTCCTCAGCTAATAGAGTTTCTACTGTATTTTCCCAATTTTAAACGGTACGATTGCACACAACAAAGCATAGAAACAAATTTCATTAATGCGTTCCATGACTGGGTTAAATGTATTGGCTCATACATCCTGTCATTTCGTCAAAAATACAGAAAAAACTCCAAAAGCAAATTCTTTCTCTATCCACCCGTATAGCAGACATAACTGTTAATATCCAAACGGGAATACTACCTATTGAATCACAGCTACACATCCGAGTATTATGTCTATTTAACAACATCTGCAACCAGCCTGAGGACGGTGTAGAAAATTCACTTGCAATACTCCTACTTCTTATATAAAACGACGGCTTGGCCGGCCAAAAGAGGGACGAAAGATACCAGAGGGACAGTCAAACTCATAGATCGAAAACAAACTGACAACAGGAGACAATATTGTACTTGAACGGCCCAATTAAGAAGACCATATGGACCTTAAATATCACGAAGACAATATATTGTTATTACAATAGGTCAATAGTACAGCTACATCCATTATATAAAGGGCTCAATTTCTTATCAGCTGAAAATTTGGGATCCGGAAAATATACATCCCCTATTGGATGGTTGGACGTCTGATGGATGCCTGAAAATTTCCAGATCCTTCAATGTAGGATTTTTTTTTATTAATTTCCGGTGATCACTTTTAAAGTGTTGAGATTACTTTTTTAATGATCTACTGACATTACTCGGAGTTATTTGTCATTACTGGACACCCCGATATTGTTTTCTACATTTGAGACAAGTTATACTGTTACAATGTGGATGCAGTTTATTCAAAGGAAATGTCGATTCGTGATTTACGTTGGATTTACCGTTTGATATACTTGAAAAGATATAACGGTATGGTCATTTTCACAACTTGTATTGTAATCATTGTTGCGATTATTGTGACAAGAATAACGGCGAGCCATCGGCAAAAGCCAGTTATAGTCTATTTTGGGAACCAAACAACGTTAAAAAGATTTAAATGGACCAGTTCCTGAAACCTACAAGCAAACAAATATTACTGGGGAATTATATGCTGCAGTTAGAGGTATAACAAGTGACATTATTTATTGGAAAAACAGCAATTGGAAACTTAAATCTTCCGGAAAAGTTGTGAAAAACAAGGAGCTCTGGTCCGAAATAGATCATCTGTTATCGGATATAAATGCGGGTACACGTTGCTCGTGATTCTGAAATTGGTCAGATTGAAGATGAAGAATGTCAAAACTTGCGTTGAACATGAAAACGTCGTCTGGAAACACCTTTCAACTAGGCTACCGTTAATGTATGTAACGACACTGAATGGAGCGACGAGGAAGGAGAAACTATCAAAATGAAAGTAGCAACCCCACGTCCAACTCTAACAATAAACTACACAAAACAAGTACTAAGACAAATTCCCCTCTTTCTGTACAATGTCAGCACTCAGGAGACTCTGAGGAAGTTAAATGATGCCATTAAGTGTCTTATTGACTCATCATACAGTCAGTTTCTAGAGATACAAGACAAATTTGCATCATAAAAAAACACGGTTAAAGCTCAAACCAATTCAGTTTTAACCTCCGTTGAAGAAGTGTTTACACAGGCACAGCTCATTCAATCGGAATTCGATTGCGATATACAGTACAAGAAGACATTTGTCAATAAAGCAAACAGCTTTTGGACAAAGTAAATGTCCAATCTAATAAGATAAAATCGTGAGGGTACACAAATTGCACCTATTTTGACAGTTTTTCCACCTACGTTTTTTTATGATCCAGACAAAAGTTTCCATTCTGTGTTTATTTTGTAGACCTATCCTATTTTACTATATAATTACACCAATATAATTTTAAATCCGTATTCTATCATACAAAAATGGACTTGAACTGACCTCCAAACGACCCTTGATTCTGTAATGAGGAGTACCCAAATTGCATCCAAGCTTAAATTCACATCCTTAAAAATTGAATAACAGATGTTTTGTTCTATTTCTTCAAATATTTAGAACAATTTGACATTAGTCCATGTTTAATATTCATTTTTTTAGAAATGGATGCTTGTAACATATCTTATTTGCTCATTTTTAAAAGATGATTTTTTTTGTGAACGTCGCATGACGACATTTCTGTAGATTTTACTTTTTCAGTGAATGGTTCATCAGTTGATATATACTGTGAACGTTTTGTGTATATCTAAACATGTTTACCTATGTTGAAAGACGTGTATAGTGTCAAATCATAAAATTACAAATGGTTTAGTCTCAAAGAAAACTTGTAAGATTTCCGCAGCTATTTTTGTTAAATAGGTGCAATTTGGGTACTCGGTGCAATTTGGGTACTGTGACGTTACAATGTCAACGTTATAACAGAGGCCGTGACAGAAACACCAAATCAAAAAAAGGAGGAAAAAGTATCTGCTACAAATAAATCTACCCCTGGATCCTTCAGTAACGTTGTTTGAAAAGTAATATCAAGCAGATTAAATAATCCAACTTCTCCATATAGGACGGACCTCGGAAAACACTATAATACGAAAAATCATACCTACATGGATAGACAAAGGTTACAACTAAACTCAGAATACTAGTACCCGGACCGTGAAGTAAACTCTAGTTATATATCCACATTTTCTACGTTCTAGTGACAAGAAAAACTGTTGGAAGTTCAACACTCAAAAGAATGTATCAAAGGAAAATGTCAACTGACCAAATTAACTAAGGTAAAGACTCGTGGAGGACGGATCAGAGACATTGAAGACCGCCTCATTCTGTTCATCTCAGAAGTCAAACCTGATTTTGTAGATATCATTGTTGTTCAATTGGGCACTAACAACGTATCAGATGGAGACTCTGTTCACGTTAGCATTGATGACTATAGAAATATATGCTAAACAGTTAGACAGAGCTTACCGCGAATTAAGCTGGTAATTTCTCAATCCTACGGAGGCCAACACATTATCAAGCTAACCGTACATTTTCTAATGTTAACAGCCGACTTTTATAATTAGAGGAACAGCAGGTGGAAATTCTAGACAATACTTTAGACTTTCTGTATGGAGACCACTGTAACCTTACGTTATTTGCAGACCATGTTCATACATATGTTCCTGGTGCCAAGGTCTTAAAAGCCATAACATCATCTCGTGCGTGAACATGTTGCCTAATTTGTCAGATTTGACATCAGAAATTCATGCAATCAAATTCTCATTAGGTGAGGTCAACAGGGAGATTTACGCTATTCCACACAATTTTATATTTCTAAACTGTTAACCACAATTAGACGATATGATTTAGAAAAGGAAGATATAGGGTCAATTTGAATACTTTTAGTTCATCAAAAACCTATTTTACTTGGGAACATGCATAGTCTTAGACCGCCCAATAGTAATGCAGAGTGGATTACAAAACTTGAAACAATGTTGACAAATGTTGATATTGAAGATAAAAGAAGAAATTATTTTGAGTGACTTTAATATTGATTTGGCGTCGTGCAAAATTCCAGCTAAATGGGCCCATTTGAAAAACATTTTAAACTTGTTTCAGATAGTCTCTCTGTTCCCACTGGAGTCGCAACATCTTTCACTTTGGTAGACCATATTTATAGTAATGAACCAGATGATATTCATTTTATTTCTATTCCAAAGTATTCTTTCAGTGACCACTATCCAGTATGCGTTTCTCACAAAAGAGGGTTAAAATCGAAAAAGAAAATGCACGAATGTATTACGTACAGGTCTACTAAATACTATAGATATTCAAATGAGAATGATTTTATCAATCACATTATGTGACATATCACAATGTTCATTTGATAGTGTACTAGAAATTTATGATTCCAAAGAAGTTTTGTCGTCATTTTTGAATATTTTTCTCATCATGCTTCAATCACAAAAAAGAGAGTAAAACTTTTATATCAAAATGAGTGGATGAATGATACAATTCGAGATAGCATGGAGAAAACGTGATTTTTATCAGAGATATTTATAATTATAGATTCTGTAGAAACAAAGAAACAAAGTAAAAAATCTCATTGAAAACTCATAGCAATATTAGTATACCAATGTTATAGAACACAAAAAGGGTAACAGTAGTAAATTATGAAAGCATTTGCATAATATCAGCAAAACCGACAGTCATACCGGCATTAAAATTATAAGAAATTGTAACAAATCATATTATAAATAGATCCAAAAAGAATTGCTGATGTATTAAAAGCTTATTTCACAGATATTACAGATAATCTTAATTATTAATATAAACCCAAACACAAACAACTGTCGGGTCGTATACCAGATAACGTTTACCACGTCGGAGTTATGACTGTTTTAAAGCTAAAAGCACAAGATGAATGAAAAGCAACAGTTCTTGATACCATTTAATAGTACAAGGTTTTTAAAGATGTCTTCTCATGCTATTTCACTTCCACTTTGTCATATATATTTTTAACCGAGACGTAAAAAAACAAAAACAAAAAAAGGATGCACCTCAATGATTTGTTTAAGAACCTGTATTGTTTTTGTTTTTTTTTTAATTTTTATAAATGATCTTCCTTCATTTAATCCTATTCATAACACCGATTTGCTTGTGGATGATAGCACCATATCTGTCATTTGAAAACAAGAGTTGCATCAGTAAAATATCTAACACGGTTTTACAAGATATTTTTCGCTGGTGTGATGACAATAAATGGCTGTAAATGTATCCAAGACGAAAGCTATGTGAACTGGCTTTAAACAGAAGCTTTCTGTTACATCAGATGAATACAATGATCTTGCCGAGAAAGGGCAGCAAATCAAAGGAAATACATTTGAAAAGGTTCAAGGTATTTTTGTTGATGCATCTCTCTTTTGGTCTTCTCGTATTGATCTTTTTGTAAAAAAAATCAAGTCTTCTTTAGCTTTACTAAAGAGAATAAAGAAATACCTGAATCACAAAGCGAGAAAACCGTTTTATAATGCTTACATTTTACCTCATTTAGATTATTGTTGTTCAATATGGGGAAACTGCAATGACTTTCTATTAGATAGTATATTAAAACTGCAAACGAGGGCAGCAAGAATAATTTTAGACGAACATAATTATAGCAAACCTTCTAGCAAATTATTTCACGAATGTGACATTGTGGCGATTACAATGAGAATACATTATCATAAATCATAACTAATGTATAAGGCAAAAAATAGTTAAGCTCCAGAATATTTATCGAGTCTTCTCATATCAGCTTTGAAACCAAAAATAAAATAGGAGATTTTCGTCATTTGATGACTTTATAATTTCATAGTTAAATACAAAGTTGTATAAGTCTAGTTTCTCGTACTGTGAATCAAAAGTTTGGAATGCTTTTCCTAGTACAATTAAAACATTAAACACAGTATTAGAATTTAAAAATAACTACAAATCTATGTACTTTTAACATTGCCTTGATATATGTACTTTAATGCCATAGAATAATCGTTTATCGAATTCAAATTATAATATCTATTTATCATTATTATTGAATTTGTATTGTAAACCTTTTTAATGTAATAATATTGTATAAAGTATTAAAGAGAGCCTCATTGAAAATTGGTGTAATCTAATTGAGTTACTCTTTCTATTATTATCATTATCATTGTTATTTATCAAAATCAATTGCTACTCTGATATTGATAAAGCGAGATTGCCAGAAAATTTAAATCTGCTCACAGTCTCATATATATATCCTTCAGAGCAAAAGGATCAGAATGTAAAAAGACGATCATATCGACCTGAAATGTTTGTTATGTGTAAAGGAAGAAGACAATATAGAACACTTTATTTAAAATGTGAAAGCTTCAGACAAGTGAGGAATACCATACTTAATTAAGTATTTAAAATATTAAAGACAACAATTACGCGATGGGAATTCAATTTGTTGAACTATTAACGAACGAAAAACTAAAGAACCGTTATCTTATCATGATTATAATAAAGGATCTTACGCCAATTGTGTGTGGGTAGGACTTCTTTGTATATATTCGACAACAGATGTCGAATAGTGGAGGGAGAAACAGCACTGTACATAAAGAGAGCACTTATTCTACAGTTTACACAAATGAAAATATGGTTCCTCTACAAAGGGGGTTTAAAGATAAGCTAGATTATTTTAGCTTATATGCCTCGAGGAATCGTTGGGCGTACAGTAGGCGATACCTAAAGGCATCATTGGGCAATCACCAGGCGATGCCTCACAAGGACACGTTGGGGATAAATGTGTTCAGTTCTATACTTACCTTAAATAAACGCAAGAATGGAATAAATGGCTTGATATCCTCTATTTCTGTAGACTCACTGGTAGCATTTGTTAAACCAAACAGACGATCTTGTTCCTTATTTGGTATATTTAAGAAGTAACGAACGAACTTCAAGGCATCTTCACATGCTATATGATCATCTAGTTTATTGAGTACTGTAATATAGAGAGATAGTCTTTTAATATTTAGTACTTTAATATACTAGAGAGATACTCTTTATTTAGTACTGTAATTAATAGATAGTATTTTTTATCAGAAATGGTTTGTACAGATTTAGTGATTACCACTTCTAGCAGAGACTTCCGCTCAAACTGGTGCTACGGATCGTCTTGAACTTACAAATAGGTGTTTGATTTTGTTCTGCAATAAAGGTACGGATCGTCTTAAACTTGCAGTGAAATGTTAGCTTTTGTTCTTTGATAAAGGTACGGGCCGTCTTGAAGTTATAGTGAGGTGTTAGCTATTGTTCTGAGATAAAGGTACGGACCGTATTAAAGTTATAGTGAGATGTTAGCTATTGTTCTGTGATAAAGGTACGGATCGTCTTGAACTTATAGGGAGGTGTTAGCTTTTGGTATGTAATAAAGGTTTTGCTGTAACGTCGAAATTAAAAAAGTAGCAAGATATGCGCTGTTCTCTAATCTTTTATTTTGGTTTTTGAGTGTGAAATAAATAATGGCTTCTATTCCATAACATTGTATTTTTAACAGATTTTTAGAGTATCGCCTCAAAGAAACTACATGTGTTGGAACGACACCAATAGCCCCGCTCGCAAAAAAAGGAGTAAAAAAAGTCCAAAGCTCTTAATTTAAACAAAATTCAACGGAGTAGAACCAAACGTTAACTCGATCTGTAGATAGTAGACTCACATACTAAAGATCAGCTCAATATGTGAAGGCGTTTAGAAAAAAAAGTCCGTATAACTGTTATCTCACGAAAATTGCAAATCCAAACCCTCTAATTTCGGCAAAATCAGCGGAGCAAAACCTAACGTAAACTCGATCTGTAACGCATCATAGTGGACTCAAATACTAAAAATCAGCTTAATATATAAAGGAGTTTAGAAAAACAAGTCCGTATAACTGTTATTTACACGATATTTTCAAAATCCAATGCCCCTATTTCGGAAAAAATCAGCGAAGCACAACCAAACGTAAACTCGATCTGTAACTCATCATAGTAGACTTAAATACTAAAATAAATGGAGAATGTGTCCCCATGGACACAGATGATGCCCCCGCTTGCATACAACATTTTAAAGGGACATACCTCAAGAACAATAAAAGTGACGCTACCCAAATTTGTACTGGATCTTAGTCTTGTGGTAATAAGTATTGTGTATAGGTTTCATGTTTAGTTGGGGCAAACTTAAGTAACAGAACGGAAACTAAAAATTTTGCATTTTTTCTATTTATAAAGGGGCATAACTCAATAATGGTTAAAGTGACACTACCCAAATTCAACTTGATCTGTGTTTTATCAGTGGAAGGCAAAATTAAACATTGCATTGTATAAAGCATTGATTGTAGTTGATTCAACTATAATCATGGACAAAGGAAGATAACTCTAATTTTAATAAACTGCTTCGCTGAGCGCAGCTGGATACGCCCGCAGAAGTCCAACCCTGAACAGTTGGGGCAAAAATGGACACAATATTCAAGCTTGATACAGGTCTGAATTTGGATTGTAATTAAATATTTGACATATTATAGGTTTCTGAATAAATGTAGTCAAAGAACTTGAAATTGGTTATGTGAATTGAATTTATATTCAATTAAAGAACCTTAGTGAGCGCGCTCACATACCTCACGTCCCCACATTGTCATTGGAGAAATAAAATAAGTGTAAGAAAAAAAAATTGTATCAGAAAAAAAAATTTAATCATAATTTCCTGTCAATATGCACATCTACTGTACATAGTATGTCCTTCTTATCTACACAGTTTCGTGAAATTATGTTGTGTGGTTTGAGAGGAGTTGCGATGACAAAAGGTTGCAGTAGTATATTGGGCAAATAAGTTCAAAGGGGCGTAACTCCTGGAAAAAAAATTGAATCGTAATTTCCTGTCGATATGCACATCTACGTAGTATGTCCTTATTATCTGAAAAGGTTTCATGAAATTCTGTTGTGTGGTTTGAGAGGAGTTGCGATGACAAAAGGTTGCAGTAGTATATTGGGCAAATAAGTTCAAAGGGGCGTAACTCCTGGAAAAAAATTGAATCGTAATTTCCTGTCGATATGCACATCTACGTAGTATGTCCTTATTATCTGAAAAATTTTCATGAAATTCTGTTGTGTGGTTTGAGAGGAGTTGCGATGACAAATAGGTTGCAGTAGTATATTGGGCAAATAAGTTCAAAGGGGCGTAACTCCTGGAAAAAAAATTGAATCGTAATTTCCTGTCGATATGCACATCTACGTAGTATGTCCTTATTATCTGAAAAGGTTTCATGAAATTCTGTTGTGTGGTTTGAGAGGAGTTGCGATGACAAAAGGTTGCAGTAGTATATTGGGCAAATAAGTTCAAAGGGGCGTAACTCCTGGAAAAAAATTGAATCGTAATTTCCTGTCGATATGCACATCTACGTAGTATGTCCTTATTATCTGAAAAATTTTCATGAAATTCTGTTGTGTGGTTTGAGAGGAGTTGCGATGACAAATAGGTTGCAGTAGTATATTGGGCAAATAAGTTCAAAGGGGCGTAACTCCTGGAAAAAAAATTGAATCGTAATTTCCTGTCGATATGCACATCTACGTAGTATGTCCTTATTATCTGAAAAGGTTTCATGAAATTCTGTTGTGTGGTTTGAGGGGAGTTGCGATGACATTAACTGTTGCAGTAGTACATTAAAGTAGATAAGTTCAAAGGGGCGTAACTCCTAGAAAAAGAATTGAATCGTAATTTCCTGTAAAAAACGGACTGACGGACTGACAGACTGACGGACTGACGGACGGACGGACGGGTCAAAAACATTATACCCTCCGCAACTCGTTGTGTGGGGTATAATTAAAGATTTCTTGCTGTTGTGCAATACACTGTGCTGTTGCGCAATACTTAGTAAATCTGTTGTCAGACTATAAACAAATAAAATTCAATTTCTTCTCAATGTCATATTTGAAATTTATGAAAATCAATAGGGAGATTACATCAATAGCTATAAATAATTCACCAAAGTTTCATGCAAACTGCATAAAGCATTTTTGTGTTATTGTCCAAAAAATTGAAAAAAAACCTTTTTTAATGAATAAAACCCCATAACTCAGAAATTTAAAATCTAAAATTTATAAAATTCTAAAGGGAGCTTACATCAACAGATATAAACAATTCACCAAAGTTTCATGAGAACTGCTGAAAGCATTTTTTAGTTATTGTTCGAAAACATGAAAATCCCCCTTTTTCATGAATAAAACCCTGTAACTCATAAACGTAAAATCTAAAATTTATAAAAATCGAAAGGGAGCTCATGTCAATAGATATAAACAATTCACAAAAATTTCTTGCAAGTTGGTGAAAGCTTTCTTGAGTTATTGTCGGAAAACTGGAAAATTCCCCCTTTTTTAATGAATAAAACCCCAAAACTCAGAAACGGTAAATCTGAAATTTATGAAAAACGAAAAGGAGCTCACGTCAATAGATATAAACAATTCACCAAAGTTTCATGCATATTATTTAAAGAGTTTTTGAGTTAAATTAAATGTCTGACATGTTGACGACGGACGGACAACGGTATACCATATGTCCCGTAAACGGGCGTATAAAAATTACTTGAACAATGACATCATTGATATTTTTAGAAAAAAAATGAAAATTTTAGCAATTTTTCCATTTGTAAAGGGGCATAACTCTAGAACAGTAAAAGTGACGCCACCAAAATTCAAACTTGATCTGTGTATTGTGGTAGTAAGCATTGTGTAAGTTTCATAACATTTGGTTGAGGCAAAATTAAGTTAGAGAACGGAAATGAAAAATTTTGCAATTTCTCCATTTATAAAGGGGCATAACTCTAGAACAGTAAAAGTGACGCCACCAAAATTCAAACTTGATCTGTGTTTTGTGGTAATAAGCATTGTGTATTGTGTATAAGTTTGATAACATTTGGTTGAGGCAAACTTAAGTTAGAGAACGGAAACCAATTTTGGGACGTACGAACAGACGGACAAGGGTAAAACTTAATGCCCCCTCCGCTTCGGCGGGGACATAAAAATTGCTCAATATGTAAAGGCGTTTAGAAAAAAGTCCGTATTTAACGGTTATTTTCAGAAAATTTTCAAAGTCCAAAACCCTTGAATTCGGCAAAAATCAGCGGAGCGGAACCAAACATAAACTCAATATGAAACTCATCATAGTAGACTCACATACTAAAAATCAGCTCAATGTGTGGAGGCGTTTAGAAAAAAATCCGTATAATTGTTCGTTGCAGAAAGACAGAATGACGGACAGGCATAAAACAATATGGTCCCGATCACTAAGTGGCGGGGCCATACAGATACTTTATTTTATTTGTTAAGACAAAAACAGACGTATAAGTGTGTTTTACTGTCTCAAATTGTTTTTATTTAAATTCTTTCATCAATTGAGTGTCATTGAGTGGTTGTCGTTTTTTGCTGTTTATCATATTTGCTTTTCGTTTATTGCTTGTACAGTTTGTTCTTGTATTGTTCTGTTGTACCATGCACTGTCTCATGTTTAGCGGACGGTTGTGCACCCGCTAAAATGTTTAACCCCGCCACATTATGTATGTGCTGTCTCAAGTCAGGAGCCTATGATTCAGTGGTTTTCGTTTGTTGCTGTAGATCATTTGTTTTTCGTTTATTGTTTTGTACATAAATCAGGCCGTTAGTTCTCTCATTTGAATTGTTTTACATTTGTCATTTCGGGTACAGTATAGCTTGCTGTGCAGTATGAATTTTGCTTATTGTTTAATAACATACGGTGACTTATAGTTACTTAAATCTACATCATTTTGTCTCTTGTGGAGAAATGTCTCATTGACAATCATGCCACCTATTCTCCTACTTTTATATCGACAAGGTTTTCAAAATGTCCATTTGCTGCATGTTTAAACATGAGCTAGGCTTTGAACTAGCTTTCAGTAACTGCAAAGATTCTTAGATCGGCCCTTTGTGTTTTGTTTTGCTTTTTTATGTTAATTTTACTCTTTTTTTTGTGCTTCGTGTCGATATGATGAGTAAAGCCATTTTCAACTGTGTTTTACTATTACACCACTATCCTAGATTAGGGGAGGGTTCAGCGCTCACAAACATGTTTAATCCGACAATTCCAAGTCAGGTGCCTCTATAATTCAGTGGTTGTTGTTGGTAGCTGTCTGTCATAAGTCAGGACGTTGGTCTTTTTGTTTGACTTGTTTCACATTTTGTCATGTCGGGACTTTTTATAGCTGACTTAACGTTTTTGTTCATTGTTGAAGGACGTACAGTGACATCTAGTTGCTTAAATTTACTTCATTTGGACGCTGCTGGGTAGTTGTCTCATTGGCAATCATACCACATCTCCTTATTTTATATAGGTATCTGAAAAAATTTGGATGTTTTCAACATTTAAAAATTGTAGGTACGTTTCGCGATTTTACACAACAGCAAATTGATAATTCCCGCCAATACAGGACTCTTTAGATGTTCCTGTAAAATTTAACAGCTGAAGAGAAAATGCTTTACGCCACATGGAAAAGGTGTTTTAACTGGTCCAGTTTCACAAAATGTATTATAGTCATTTTATTTCAATTCTGTAAATAATCAAAAATGTCTCAAAACACTAAACGGATTATGTATTGTCGCGTTTTATTTAAAAGCTGCTGCCAATCCTGTCTATTTCTATTCAGGTACGGCACTAGCTTTATTAAAAACCACACTATATAAACAGTGAGCAAGAGCTGTGTTAGCAATAACAGTCAAACAAAAAGCAGTTCGAACAAAACTCCAAAGAAAAATAAAGCAACAGAAACACCCAACCGCCCTAAAGAAGAAAAAAAACACACAAAAAAGTGATTTTCAAACAATATTACATTAACGCCATACCACGATAACTGCACGCTGTTAATTGTGTTCTATAAGTGTCAGACCACCAATGCACCCACTACAATTTAGAACGTATGTAAAAGTAGCCCTTCCCTGACAAAAAATAGTGCTTTTGATGGCATTGTTTACTTAAACTAACCAACAAATTTGTAGAAATGAAACTTTTGTTGAAAGAGAAATATATGTAGACCATTTTGAGCCAAAATTTACTTGTCTATGAGTTTGCATTAAACATTGAGGATTAATGCCCTCCATAGTGTATATAAATAAGATGTGGCATGAGTGCCAATGAAACAACTCTCCATCCAAGTCACAATGTATAAAAAGTTAACAATTATAGGTCAAAGTACGGCCTTCAACACGGAGCCTTGGCTCACACCGAACAGCAAGCTATAAAGGGCCCCAAAATGACTAGTGTAAAACAATTCAAACAGGAAAACCAACGGTCTAATCTATATAAAAAACTAGAAACGAGAAACACCCATGAACCACACCAACAAACGACAACCACTGAACAACAGGCTCAATATACTTATTTAAGATTTCCAGAAAGCCAGGCGTTATTTTTAGCAGTACATGTCTCCCGAACATTAGTATTTCCTTACGAGACTTTAGACATAGGTTAAAAATTGGCATGTAGAAAGATGATACATGTACAAATTACTACAATTCATGATATACCTGGTTTCTATGAAGTTGAACTTTGGTAAAATATTTAGAAAGCTGTGAAATTTGCAAAATTTGATTGAATAGATAGGGATTTTGAATTGGTGGTCTGACACCTCTATATGCATTGGAATAACAAAGAAATTTCATAGGCGCTTTAGGAATGGACCTCATTTTTTCTGTGTTTCAGTAGAAAAGGGCAGTATCCCAAACTCTGTCTCACCGACAAAATTTCAGACAAAAAATCATTCGGTCGGACAGAATTTTTTTGATTTTTTTTGTTGAAAATATAGTAGAAAAGATCAAATTTCTTTTTTCGGTCAGACAAACAGTTTGGCAGACTCAAAGGGTCCATGCCATAAGCCCATGTATATATGCTCCGTACCTCTACTAAGAGTAGAAATGGGGGTCCATGTCCTAAGCGTATCTATATTTTTCTAGTGCCTACTTGATAAACTGAAGGAAGAAAACTAAATTTCTACAATACAATGTCAACTTACCCCCGTTATTAGAAATCAGCATTCCAGTTTGCTCGAATTTGGACTGTAAGCGGTTAATAAATGGAAAGGAATACTTATAACGATAGTCTTTTGTCAAACAATGTGCACGTTTTAAACAAGTTTTCCTGCATGGTTCCGGACAAGTAAAATCTCTGCGAGGAAACAATCTTTTCAGTTTTTCATAATAATCTGAAGGGTAATCGGATGGGAGATTTTTGCATCTTGGATCTTTCCCTGCACATCTTTCAGATGGATTCTGTTGACAATTTGGGTTATCTGGTGGACATTTTCCTGGGGGACCTTGTTTACATTTAGGATCTCCTGGCGGACATTGTGTCGGAGGTTTGCCGTCTGTTGTGTTATTTCCTCCGTCTGATGTGTTATTTACTTTGCCCGATGTGTTGTTGTACTGTTCAGGAGGAAAGTTGGATGTAGAACTGTTATTTTCCTGAGCATGACAGATAACACACATCAGCACACAACATATAACTAAAATCAGAATAGTACTATTAAATGTATTGGCATCCAGTATAATACCATGACGTCATATATAATTACAACAACTATATTTATTCTGACAAAATTTCAGGACACTCAAGCTGTATTTAAGGTAGATCATAGGTATATTTTTCCCGAGATAGAATTTTCTTATACTTTGCCAAATTGAAGATTTTACTATACTCTTTTCAAAAATATAATAAAAAGGATGGGTCACCGTGCTATTTTTCAAGCTACGAGTCGTTGAAAATTGCCTAAATTTGGTTAGAATGATCATGAAAAAACACATTTTTGTGCATAAAAAGAAATCTATGAGATAGAATTTTGAAATAAATTGTGAGAAGATAGGTTTTAAAATATGTTTTAAGAAAATAAAAAGAAAAAATGGTGTCACCGAACTTGTTTTCTTGCTACAAGTAAAAATTAAAAATTTCCCTATCAGTCCAGTATACATTTTTCACTAAAAGAGTTATCTCCCCTAAAATTGCTTAGTTGAAAAACTTTATTCTAAAACACAAATGTTTGGTATTTGTATAAATATTTGGGATAATGCAATAAATCAGCAAGTTTTCGTCATATATATAAACTGTCTAATCAATAAAATTGCACATCTGTCTACAAATTTGCAGATTTGGGCAAATAACTAGACTGATAGTGTACTGCGATAGTACAATCCAAGATGGCGGTATACCATGAATCTATCTTAAAGATGCGAGAAACGTTAAATTTCGTTACACTGTGGTGATATTTATCTTTGATAAGAAATATCGAGTAATTTCAGATAAAAAAAAAGATCCGATTCTATGTTATATACATGTAAGAAGCAAGAATAATAATTACTTACATTGATTTTGTTTTCATTAATAAACATGATAAAAATTAAAATATATCTTAATAATTTAAAAATAAGAAGATGTGGTATGATTGCAGATGAGACAACTCTCCACCAGAGACCAAATAACATAGAAGTTAACAACTTTTAATCTATAGGTCACTGTACGGCCTTTTCCAATAAACAAACCCATGCCGCATAGTAAGCTATCAAAGGGCCCGAAATGACAAACATAAAACAGTTTAAACAAGAAAACTAACGGCCTGATTTATGTACAAAACAATGAACAACACTAAACAAAAAATGTGACATACAGCAACAAACGACAAACACTGAATAACAGGCTCTTGACTTAAGGGTTTATGGCAACCCCATATTTCTAGATCTATCTGAATTTTATCTCATTAAATGACGCTGAATAGCAAAAAATAACTTGACTTATTCCGACTACACTTATTGCAGACTGAGAAGTATGTTATGTGAAACAATACCTTTCTTAACACCCCCTTCCCCTCCCAGCTCCTCCTTTTGAAGCTAGGGAACACAAAGAGATACCGAAACCGGAAAGGACCCCAACTAAAAGAGAGGCAGAAGATTACAAAGGGATATTCAAACTCATAAGTCAAAGACAATCTGACAACGCCATGACAAAAAAACGAATAGAGAGCTGTGCCGTGAGCGCACGATACGCCCGTCGCTTTTTCATCTAATAAAGTTCCATAACTCCTCAATGTCATATCAGAAATATATAAAAGAAAAACTAAAGGGAGTTTATTTTAATAGATATAAACCAGTCACTAAAGTTTCAAGAAAACTGCTGTCAGAAGCATTTTTGAGTTATTGTCCGAAAAATAGAAAATACCACCTTTTTATGAATAAAATTCCATAACTAGGAAACGTAAAATCTAAATTAGAAAAAAAAACGAAAGGGAACTTACGTCAATAGATATAAACAATTCGTAGAAGTTTCATGAAATTTGGTTAAAGCATTTTGGAGTTATTGTCCAAAAGGTTGATGACTGACGTACAGACGGACGGACGGACAACAGTATACCATAATACGTCCCGTAAACGGGCGTATACAAATGACCAAAAGACAACAACCGTCTACAAAGCACATCATAAAAAAGAAAACACTGATCAATTGGAGGGACCCGCATAGTAAGGATTAATTAAAATTGTTTACGAAAACCCGTAAAAATAAAACAGAAAATAATAAAAGTTTATTTTTTTTTACGGGAAACAGTGTTAATTTCTCCAAGTACTGCATCTTATCATTCTTACAAAATATTCGAACCGGTAAGTCAAATATAAAGAAAAAAAATTCTAAGACAATATGGACTATTGCTCACTACTGATACCTTTACTACACATATTTGGTTAACAGGAAGTTGGCGATGGATGCGAGACGCTTCTCACGCCACGATAAAGCATTTTCACAGTTAAGCTTGATACCAAATTCTGAAGCCCTGATTCGTAGTTCTAGAGAAAAATGCGGCAAAAATTTCATACATGGTCAATCGGAAAAAACACGCTGCGAGTTCCGTTAAAAAAAAAACATCTTTTTGATTGGACGGACGGACGGACGTAAATCAGTATACCCCCAAAGAAAATGTAGTTTATAAATAGGCTGACGTCATAGCAATGGTTCAAGAGGACTGAAGCAAATGAAATAAATAACTCTGATGATAATCATGATAGTACCGTAAGAATCAGAATGATAACCAGTAGTAATGTGATATGTCATATTTGAATGTTTATATCGCTCATTTATCATAAAATCTTGGGCTTTGTCCAGATTTTCAAGTGTACTCTTACGCTTCAAAATTCGTTCCAATCACGAAAAAAAAAAAGATTTTTAATAATTTGCCAAATTCATATTTTTACCAAAAAGAAAATTGTGAAGATTATATATATTGAACACAAAACAAAAAGAAATAAGAAAGAAAATGTATACTTACAAGTTTTAAAAAATGTCTGTTTCATTTTTGCGTGTCTGCAAAATAGAGTATAGAACATGTCACATGTGTACAAAATCTGAATTAAAAAAAAAGTCCGTTACAAGATGCACATATATAGTTTTAACTTTTACAAACAATTTATTAGACTATTTTTATATTACCGACTTTTGACTCCGGATTATATAATTTGTCGACTGGTTACCTTGGACATCATGGTACCAAGTCAGGTAAGAGCAAGCTAAAGAAGTAAAACTAAGCTTTCAATCGGTACAATTTTGGGGGAAAATTTCCTGCTTAACATTTTTATTTCACTACAAAATCATCGGAAAACAGTAAACTTTACCCTCAAATTACACCGATTATATGTTTGAACTTTCTTATTTTGGTTGCTCTTACTTGACAGAGTACCATGATGTCCAAGGTAACCAGTCGACAAATTATATAATCCGGAGTCAAAAGTCGGTAATATGAAAATAGTCTATTTACATAATTTGTTTTATCAAAAACCAGCGAATACGCTATCGTTCAAAATGAATCATGCAATGAGGCATTTTAGTGGGATTTTTAGATATTAATTCATAAATAACTAAGAAAGAATTTTTGAAAAAAAATCGTATTTTTCTAAGCTTTCATACTATTCGTTAACGACACATCTTAAAATTGTTTTTGCTAAGGCACCGACCATTCATTATTTCAGAGTCCTCGAAAAGTGGTGGTCCGAATGGTTTGACCACCAAAATTTGCATTGAACAGACAACATTGTTGTATTTTGCAATAATAGCAGATTTTCTTCAAGGACCAACAAAAAAAATGATTTAGAGAACTCGGTTCTTTTTATGGGATCTTTTCGTCTTTGATATAAAAAAAAACTAGTCTCTGGAACTTGACTTTTTGTTTGTTACTCAATGTGGTATTCATTTATTCAACTAATGTTCAATGTAAACAAAGCACTAAGCCTGAAACATTACAAACATTCTTTTTTTTCAAGAAATTTGGATTTTACTATTTTATTTTTAATTTATCAAAAAAAACAACAAAAAAAACACCATGCCCCCGCTAAGGATGAAGGATACGTGCCTTATAGCTTTTGAATTTATTTAAATACCATCAAAGACTTCGATTAATCGATAATGAAAAATTCCTGGCTTATCCTAAGTATTCGAGAGCTGAACACAAAACGTTCAAAAGTCGATATTAAGATATCTATTAAATAGACAGCAAAGATGGTAGTTGGTAATACTAATAATACTAATTAATACTAACAATACTAATACTAATAATGCTAATTATACTAATAATACTAGTACTAATAATACTAATACTAATAATACTAGTACTAATAATACTAATACTACTAATAATACTAATACTAATACTAATACTAATAATACTAATACTAATACTAATACTAATAATACTAATACTAATACTAATAATACTAATTGCCAATATTGAATAGCTAACTCATTTCGGCAATACATTTTTTAAATAGTTAAGAAGTCAATGTAGCCTGTACTAAATTTTTGTGTATTTGTAATTGTATTATGCTCTTGGGATATACTGGTGGGTCCAATAAAATAAAGACTCCTATATATACTAAATCATAATGCAATTTCATTTGAGGTGACCATTGCAGCAACTGTGTCCTCAATCGGCAAATAGTTTCGGAGGCGCCTGAAACTGTTTCTGATTCTAAATACCGATGAAGACACATTTGCGCAATTCAAGTTCAAAATGTTTTATTTGGGCGTCAACAGCATGCTGTTAAAAAAGGCATTAAATGTGTGTTTTTTTTTTATTATTGCATTTAGGGATGAAAGTAGAGAGACATTTTCCTTATCTGCTTCAGTTTGTCGGTCCAGAGTTGTGAGATCTTAACTGTCAGATTTAAGAAAAATTTTCACAAGTCGCGCACTAACTCGAGTTTTACTTGAAACTCTTAGCTGTAAATAATTAAACGCCTCCGAAAGATTTTGAACAAATGTATTGTATATAGTATAATGATATATTTTTACATTTCTAACAATTATGTATGGATTGAAATTAAAAAAGTGACTGTGGCTGTTGTAATGAGCTGTTGTGATTAACAAAGGTCAGCTCCATTAATTTCGATTTTGAACTTTTTGCGATTCGTCATTCTCAAATCATTGCCCTGTAAGTTGTAACAGTCAGTTGTTCACTTGTATCGTATTTCCCCTCCAGGCTCCACAAATCACAACTCTTTATGATAGTTGTTTCGAATACTTTATTTGAATGAAGCTTCTCACATGGGACAGATAGTCACATAAATTATGAATTAACTGTTTATAAAACTCAATGCTCAATTTCGTACTAGTCTTTATTTGGCCTTTTTTACCTTTTTTATTCGAGCGTCATTATCCCCAAGGTTTTTGCCATTTTATTTTTGGAAAAAGCAACAGACTGTTTCACCTGTTAAACCAGTCTTTCAATTTAATATCTAGACCTTTAATATGTGATGGGGTGAACAGGGGGGTCACTGATTCCCACTTACCTCCCAACTTACTCCAAAACGACGTAAATCAGTCAAAAATATTTCCCAAGAAAATCCCTATTTTACTCCCCCTCTCCCCAATTTCCCTTTCCCCTGCCCCACCCCCATTCCCATGTTCCCTTACCCTCATAGTATATATGTGTACAGTAGTATATGAAAGTTTTACTTTTATTTGATGTTATTAATATTATCTTTTTCAAATATTTGATGTCTTGTCACAAGAGGGGGTGGACAGGATCGGACAGGGTGATCCCTGATTTCCCACTTCCCTACCCCAACTCCCGCGTCCCTTCCCTTCCACTCCCTATTCCTTTCCTCCATACTCCCACTTCCAGACGAAAATCGCTCAATTTTCCCCCAAGAATATGCCTAACTTCACTCACCCTATTCCCCCGGTTCTTGCTACCCTGACTCCCGCTTAAAATCCCTCATTCCTATGTTCCCTTACGCCTGTCTATCTGCTCTCTCAAGCATAGGTCCTGAACAGGCATGACATATTTGCCACTGGGAATTAAGCAAATAACACCCAAACAATTATGAATTACAGTACATGTATGGGATATGAGTGGAAAAAGGGGGGACAATTCGACATAGTTATTCTAAAATGAATTTGGACGGTATTTCGTGCTCAGCTGTCGTTCTGTTCTTATAAGGTTATGATAAAGAAGTTAGTGAATTTATCGAACGAATAAAATTAACGGACTTGAGGGTATTTAGACTACTGCCAGTACTGGTCGGGAGAGTGGTCCTTTGTAAGAAATATATGCAAGGTGCTTTATCGTAGTGCAAACCGGGAGTGCAAATAATTATGACGTCATGAAAGGCTATTTTAATTTTTTGTTGTGACGCGTCGCAGTAAGGCGTCACAGCAAAAAATAAAAATACTTTAAAAAGCCTTTCAAGAGATAGACGTCTAGCTTTATCGGTGACCTTTAAACACTTTCGTAAACACTTCCGTGTTACTCAGTACAGTGTAAGCAGAAACATTCCTTATGTCCCCCTTCTTACCCTTATAGTTGTTAACTTACAATTACACAGTAGTGTTTATATCCATTTACGCTGAAATAGTTTTACAAATATTCGGCGTCATGAGGTCTTGAAACACATGACGTCATGATAAAATAATAAAAAAACGACACAACGACGGAATGTTAGATATGAGGATCCGTGATTTATTTCGAGGAGTATAAAAGAGAGGCTAAAGATACAAACGGGACATTCAAAAGCATAAGTCGAAGAAGGGAGGGGATCTCAAGTGCTCCGGAAGAGTGAAAGCAGATCCTGCTCCACATGTGGCACCCGTCGTGTTGTTCATGTAAGCACAAACCCGGTGATGTATAATTTATCGGAGGATATGATATTTTTCATATATGAGGCCCCCCATATATACAAGTCTAAATTGAAAACAACGTTCAAACCTATGATTGCGTTGGATAAAAACCGAAATTTTATACGTGTGCATGTAAAACAAATGTCTTGGTAGAAGGGTCTAAATACAGCACAAACAACATTTTCCAAAAGACCAAAAAAGTGAAAAGTATATTTTAACAAAACGCATTTGACTAACAGGTCGAACAACTGATGTTCTTAAACCCTGCTGACTGCCATTGGCGATTGCCAAATAAATTGATCACCAGATGTAACATGGATCTTAATTATTAATTAAATACCAAACAAAAAACAAAAAAACTTGCGGAAAAGATGGCCGGTATATCGCAAACATGAGGTGCAAAAATTTGTACACCATTTTCGGATTTCGACAATTAATGTCTCTTCAGTGATGTTAGGGATCGAAACGGTATTTGGAAGGCCATATATTAATTTATCTCAATTTAGGATAGACTCTTGAATTTTAAAGAGTCGAAATAGGATGAACGGATCATATAAACCCGAAGGAAAATATAATACAAACCCAAACGAAAAAATATAAACAAGTCTAAATTGAAAACAACGTTCAAACCTATGATTGCGTTGGATAAAAACCGCAATTTTTATACGTGTGCATGTAAAACTAATTTCTTGGTAGAAGGGTCTAAATACAGCACAAACAACATTTTCCAAAGGACCAAAAAGTGAAAAGTATATTTTTACAAAACGCATTTGACTAACAGGTCAAACAACTGATGTTCTTAAACCCTGCTGACTGCCATTGGCGATTGCCAAATAAATTGATCACCAGATGCATGGAACATGGATCTTAATTATTAATTAAATACCAAACAGAAAACAATAAACTTGCGGAGAAGATGGTATACCGCAAACATGAGGTGCAAAATTTAGTACACCATATCCGGATTTCGACAATTAATGTCTCTTTAGTGATGTTAGGGATCGAAACGGTATTTGGAAGGGCATATAATTTACCTTAATTTAGGATAGACTCTTGAATTTTAAAGAGTCGAAATAGGATGAACGGATCATACAAAACCGAAGGAAAATATAATACAAGCCCAAACGAGTAGGGAATTAGGAGAAGGAAAGTGAAAGTTGGGGGTAGGAAAGTGGGTACCAGGGACCCCCTGTCCAGCCCCTCATAGTTCAGTCATATATGAAACAGTTACAGCAATTCAAAT